AGGTTGGCTTGTGCCCACCCCGCCAGCTTATGATCCTTAACTCGGAGTCCTGATGTGAAAACGTGCAGCTCAAAGGGCAAAAGGTTTTGCCCACACATACCTCCCCCCAGCCCTGGCCTATCTTCGTTTTAAATTTTGGCCACTGCCTTCTCTCATCTCTTTCCTTTCCCCTCCTCTCCCTCCGAATGCCTCGCCTTCACCAGGGTGTGCAGAAGGCTATGCCAGAGACGCCACAGAAATACAGAACATTCAGATTGCTGATGGGGATATCTGCAGGGGCCTACAGATTCCTATATACATGGTGTTTCCCAGGTTGTTCACCTGCCCCACCCTGGAAACAACAAACTTCAAAGTTGGTAAGTGTGTGGGACTGTCTGCTGTGTTGGCGTCTTTCCTCTGAGGTCAGTCTCTAGTTTGACCTTAGCTTCTGGCAGGTAGCGGGATAGTAAGTGGCTGACAGCACTGCAGGAAGAACCAAGGAATCCGTCTGTTTCCCTGTGGAAGTGTCCTGAACAGGATTGTAGGCTGCTGTATTTCATATAGACTGAGAAAATACAGCCTAATGCTTATAACTTGAAACAGTCATTTTTAGTAATAGTTGCAACTGTTAAGCTCTTTCTGACTAACAGAGTTATTATGGCAAAGGGACGGGAGAAGCAGTGTAATGGCAGGTAATTTTTTTTTCTGCCCCAAGATGACATGTGATTAAACATGTGAATAACAGTCTAAGGATAAAATGCCAAGATGCTCCCTTCTTTTCATCACTGGTGGCAAGAACCCCTCTTTCCATTCACTCTCCTTTTTGTTTCCCTTTCTCCTGCTGCACAGACTCAGAAGCAGCACAGTTAGGCTGTGTGTGACTTGGCTTTTCTTGATCTACACCAGCTGCTTCTTCCTGGTTATTGTTGCTAAAATCCAACATTTTCCTTGACAGACACCTGAAACTTAGGATTTTCCTCGTTATTCAAATAATTACTGCAAAAATTCTTTGCTATACTGTTTTTCTTCCATTCACCCTGCTGGAATCTGTTGATGGTTCTTTTTTTCTTTTTTCGTGTATCAGGTTGAAGTCCCTGCCTTTTGAGACCTTTCCTGAATAAAGCCCCTCCTAGGTTTTTGCTGTATTTCTCGGACAAGTGTGCATAGCTTGTTTTTCAGCTTTGCCTACCTGTTGATATGTTCCCCCAAGAGCATTTTTGTACCTGATGTGTACAGTGATTTCCCCCAAAATAATCTTCTCTACTTTTTGCTATTTCTAACTATTGAATAATATTTTTTAGTGACAAATGGCTACTGTTAGTGTAGTATCTCCTTGTATTTGTAAGAAAAGTCTGAAAATAAACTGAAAATAACTCCTTTTTTTACAATCTTCATAATTATATTAAGACTTTGGTTCCGTTCACTTATTAATTTCACCTAACTTTCTATTTAGTCTCCATTTAGGACTGACTATAGATCTAATACTTGATTTTCATCTTGAACAACACACTCTAGTATCTAAAACCAGTAGGTTTTCTGTTGAAAACTTTGTCATTGGTTGCAGGTGTATTGTGTTTTGGTGTTTTAATTTGATAAGGCCATACATAAGGTGAGGTTCCAAGGCTGTGTTACATGCTGACAGCAGGGGTGGGCACTGATCCCTAACTATTCTGCTTACATGCTCCTGAACAACAGATATTGGTGCAGGGCAGCTTTCCCCAAACATTTTAACTGTAGGTGTCTGAAACCCCACCTGTTGTTCAGAAGACTCTCTGTCAATAGTTTTTCAGTGATACAGCAATGAATCCAGAGGAATCCCAAAGGTTAGAACAAGTCAAGTTTTTCTATGAAGGGTCCATGGTCTGGGATGCCTGTGGTGACGTTCTGCCTGGAATACTGTGTTCATCCATGCCACAGGAAAATTCAGGGTATTTGGAACAGCTTGGAAGAGTCCTGTGAAGCGCTGTGCCTGAGGGTAGGGACTGCCTGCCTCTCACCCTGCTGCTGTTCAGATTCATAGGAAAGAAACCCCTGCTTTTTTTTTTTCCCCCTCTTGCAGAGTTTGAAGTGAACATTGTTGTCCTTCTGCATGATGATCACCTCATCACAGAGAACTTCCCGCTGAAGCTCTGCAGGATGTGAAGAGCCAGAGGAGAATCACTTAATGATTTACTGAAAAAAGACAAAATTCTAGAGGCAAAGAGAAAATTTAACTGAAACCGCATCACTTCCTTCTCCCTGGTGGTGCTTCTTGTGCTTTCGGTTCTCTATAAATTTCACTGAGACTTTGCCGTATCCTACATGGATGTACCTGTCCAGGCAGCCTTGTCAGGTATCTTTCTGACTTCAGCAACTCTCTTTTCCCTAATTCTTCCTCACACTAATCCTGAAGGAATGATTCTGGGTATTTCTACCACTTGTTGAAATAGGTAGTAAGTTTCTCTCCTTAATTTTGTAATACTTATTCTGAGGTCCTTTTAAAAACAAACAAACAAACAAACAACACTGTTTAATCTACAAAGTCTTGCTATACAGGGTGCTATACACCCTGGGGGAGGGTATGGAACTTGCAATACAGTGTTGAATAGTGGTTTTGAAGGAATAATAAATGGTGCTACAACACAGCGAAGTGCATGGGATGAGTATTGTAAACTGAAATGTAAAATGAATAATGATGTGAAGTTACACTAGCTGTATTTTGGTCAAATTGGGAATAGATTCTTAGTTTTAGAATATACTTTGTGCAGTACCATCTTCCCTTTTCTAAGACTTCTTCAGCTCAGTTTTGTTAAAAACAGTCTGTCATGGAACAAACACCAACACTGAATTGTCCCAGACCAGCCTCTGCTGATGGTGGGAAAATGGCATTAAAAACTTCAGTGTGGCACCTTGGGCCTTTAGGACACAACCTCTCATTAGCTGAATAACTGTTCCAAGGGAGGCAGTCCCTCTTTTTAATTAGGGGGGTTCATATGGTCACTTGCTCAATGTGGTGTGTAAATGTAAATCATAGAACCATAGAATGTCTGGGCTGGAAGGGACCCTCCAAAGGTCATCTAGTCTGACCCCCCCACAATAAATGGGGACAGCTCCAACTAGATCAGGCTACTCAGAGCTTCATCCAGCCTGATCTTGCATGTCTCCAGGGATGGGGCCTCCACCACCTCTCTGGGCAACCTATTCCAGTGGTCTGAATGTCAGGAAAGGGATAAGGTAAGGTAAATACATCAAAGTATTGGTAATTATACATCTTAAAGGAACTATATAGGAGAACAATGTCAGCAAGAAACATTGCTGAAACAGGTTATAGATTTTGAAGTTAACAGAACAGTCACAACTTCATTCTAATTCTGAATTTTCCGTTATGTAGGGAAGAAGCAGACTAAAGTGTAAGTGTAAAGATGTCAACCCAAAAAGACAGTATTAAGAAAACTGCCAACAATGATTTCCTTTAGCTTCATCCAGCAGCACTGCCATGAAGGAAAATTTAATTCTAGGTTTGGCTTCCATCTGCATTTTAGGAGTAAGCATCTGAAATTCTCATTTTGATGTCTTGCAACAGCCTTGTTACAAGAAGTTAACACTTCTCCCAGGTCAGGAAATTGAACAGGTTGATTTAAGGAAAAAGAAGTCCCTATTTCTAGTCTTACAACATTGTGTAGAGTGCCACCTGCTGCTCGGAGCAGCACTGTTGCCTCCCACCATTGACACTTCGAAAAGACCATCATCTTGCCTTGGGCCCCAGCTGGAGCCTACCTGGGTCCTCTGTGCTGCAGGTACAGGAAGAACAAGATGGGCTGATGCCAAGGACGTGTACGTACAAAGCAGCTCAGTGCTGAGATTACCTCACCTGGAAAGCGCTGTCCAATGCGGTGCGTGGGACTGCTTTGCCACTGCCAAATACCCCTCTGGACTGCTCTGGAAAAGGGGCCTGAGCACCAAGGACGTAGGTGGCTTTTGTAAAAACTAAGAAGAAATATATAAGTATCATACCCCACCCCAAGAAAATAATGGATGCTGGTGAAAAGGATGCAAGTGCTTCTAATGCAGAACAGGCAGGAGGCTGCCTTAGCTCTCACATGCAGCAGATAACTGACTTAGCAAAAAGCATCACACACCAAAAAAAATGACAACAACAAAACCAAACAGATCAGCTGCAGCAGTAACTTTATTTGTGACTCATTTCTTTACAGGGATTACAGTCCATCCTTAGGGGAAAAGCAGATGCAGTATTTCCAGTATCCCTTAGCTAAGGGCCCTGCTGGTTTTGCGTGCTGCCAGCCTCCGAGCTCCACCAGCCTCATGCCTCCAGGCAGCAAGCAGCCAAAGTGCTGCACCCTGGAGCCGACTGTTCTGCGGGTGCCACGGACCTGCCAGCAGCACACAGCTTAGTGCCCAGTGTTAAATACCAGGGAGCTCTACCACCCCCCCAGCAAAACTAGGGCCCCATCTCTCTCCAGGCACGGTGTTTCTGTTCCCAACGACAATGGTCATACTGCAGCCACTTTGCATGTCATTATAATACGTTCCAATAAAACCAGGTTTAAGCGTATCTATTCCGTGCGGGAAGCTCAGGGAAGTCTTCAGGTAGCAGAGCATGGACACGGCAGATAGGGCAGGTACTTGAATGCTGCTTAAGCCATGTTCTAACACACTGCAAGAACAGGAAGATGTTACGGTAACAGAGTCTGGTACAAAGAGTTCAGCTTAAATACATTAATAATTGTTGCTAATAGGTAAGCTCTTTTCCAGCACGTTCTGTGTTCCTGAAATGAGCATTAGAAAACTCCCCCAGATGTAATACTCTGCTGATCAGTTTACATTTGCACCTGTACTGCAATAACAAATCGGCACATAAGCAAATACGGTAATGGGATAAAGTCAGAGATGGAAATACCAAGTTATTATAACACAATCCTAATTTCTTTTTTTACCGTGTGCAGTCTTAAGTACAACTGCTACCAGGTGGCACATGTAGGGTCTATAGTATAGCCCCTTCTGTAAGTATGCTGCAAACAGATCTGCGACTTGACTACCAAATTTACTCTCTGAAGAATAAGCTTAAATTCACTCTGATGGATTATCATTTTACTTAATCTAAACCTGCAAACTCTCTGATGCCGTAAGACCATACATATAGCAAGTCTTGCTGTACAGGGTATGCAAGAGAATCGTGTGCTGTTCTTTAAGCACTGAAAGGGAAAGGGGGAGGGGGCGCTTGCTTTTAGGACCAGCAGCATAAACCGCGCGGCCTGTGAATATCTGCACCCACGCGACAGCAGCAGAGCCCTTACCTGGCGGTGGAAGCGATGCCCGCATTCGAGTTCACACGCGTCTCGGCTCAGCTCATCGTGACAGATTGTGCAAGGATCATCACTGGAGGCCTAGACATGAAGTCTTTAGTTATTTGAAAGCTAGCAACAACTAGTCAAGAAATTCTAATAAAAGTTAACGATGTTACTCATTTTAACCAAGTATATTTAAGCTTTTTTAGGCAAAAAGAGCAAGTAAATTATTTTTTCCAGCAGTACTTTGATTATTTCATGTGTTAGAAGAAGAACACACCAAAGCTTCACATCCATTGAAACGGTGAAGAACTTACTGCATAGTCCAGCTTTTTCCATCTGGATTTAGGTACTTCTCTAACATTTCCCCAAGGTTGGAGATGTGGCTGGGACAGATTCTGACTTGAGGCGTTTCTTGCCTTGGATGGGCTGGGTGCATCTTCTGCAGGTACTTCCCAACTCCGAGTTCCAGTCTGTGCTGGTGCAGGGGGGGATGCCTGGACAGGTATTAGAGAAAAATTTGGAACAAGTTCAGATTTCAGAGCTTGACAGCAAAGGGAGTTTTGCACTTTTTTCTGGACTGTGCTGCACTGCTTCCTCTGCCAGAGACACACAGTAGAAGAGTACACCACAGTACCTTACTTTGCTGGTCCAGAATCAGTTCTGTCACTCTGCTTAGAATTTCATTAAAGCTCAAACCTGCCAATGTATTCCCATTTCCTCTTTGTACATCTTTTATGAAGCTGGTGAAGTCCGAACTGAAAGGACAAAAACAAGACAATTACCGATGGGCAACACGATGGCTGTTACCAGCATAGTCGTAGTGCTCAAAACACTCTTAACTTCCACATTTGATTCACAGCAGCAGAGCCTTTACTTCTCAAATGAGCCGTACCAAGTACCTGACAAATACCTCCCAATAACTAGGATCTACCTGAATCATAAAAACCCCTCGAACAATAAAAATAGTAGTACTTCTGTTCATTAGTGGTTCTAACTGGGGGGGGAAAAAACCCAAAACATGTAAGCCAACACCGTAAGTCTGTTCCCTTAAGGAATGTCCCACTGAATGGGAGGGCACGGAGGGGAGCAACCAATACAACTGTTCTCCCAAAACAGAAGCCATCTACTATGGAACGAATTCTCTTTGTACTTTATCACTGGATGTTCAGGACTTCTGTTACTCCACATACCATTATAATTGCTCATTAAAGCAAGTACCTGCTGTAGTTTGGGAATATACTCTGTAGATGGGTGATAATATTTTCAAATACTTTTGGAAGTCCAGGTGGTCTCGGCTGTATAGCTGAGTCATGTTGGTGGTTCTGCTTTGGCTGGACATTCCGAGTATTACTTCCAGAAATCCCTGATGGGCAAGCTGACGAAATTTTATCAGAATATGACCCTTTGAGAGGTTTAGGGTGTGGATTCACTGAAATGCCACTTCCAGAACTTGCACGTGCTGCTGCAACTCTGGCCTGTGTATTACATGGAGCATGTGTTGGACCTTGATCTTCAGAACTTGAGAATGCAGGGAGGAAATGAGGTGCAGATGCAGAGGAATACATGACAATGGCTGGATCACTGACTGGAGGTCTCTCTTCTTTTGTCTATGAAATAAGCAGATTTCACAGGAAAAATCACAATTAAAATAAATTGAACAGAACCCTTGAGCATTTGCAGCATGAACCATGCTAAGGAACTGGAAGGTCACATCAATTTATCTTAACTTGCTTTACCTAGGTAAAAATACTGCACAAAGTTGCTCTTTAATAGGTACTGCATAGGGCGAACCTGTCTGAAGTGGGATGCAACAGGACAGCACACACAGAATCCGTTCCTCTAACTTGGGCTTTGCTCAGGAACGTGTGGCTGCTGGACAGCGCTCAGCTGCACAGCAGTACAGCCTGAAGTTGGTTGCTGTGCCATCAACTTGAGCATGCAGAGTTAACTGCTTTTAACAGATTATATAATTATATGTAACCCATTGTAGTTTGGGTTTTTTTTTTTTTTTTTTTTTTTAAACAGAAACATGTCAGATATAGTCATTATCTTGAAAAAGTTGGAGCTGACATGATCCAGGAAGACATCTTTTTGCACTAACTACTCTCTTCCATAAATGGAAAGAACTTAAAATAAATATCGTTGTTTGACTTGATGACTGTTATTTGTTTCCTGATTGCTCCAGGAAGGTGGCTTTCTAATACACAAAACTAAATTCTACATTGCATCACACTCAAACCTCCTGCTTCTTGTATCATATTCTTCAGTTTACCACTTTTTTAAAGAGATATTTTATTTTCTCTGTAAGGTCTTTAATTAATGGAATTAAACAGCGAGAAAAAGGGTTTTCATCATGTCTTTTTCATTTGGACTCAGTATTTGCCTATTAAAGTCCCTCCAGCCTGAAATAATTGCAGACCTCTCCTCTTAAAAGGTTACTCCTGTATTACTATGGTAGAAACAGATACCAAATGCAGAACAAGAGGCTGAGAAGCCACTCTACCTGTTAGCTGATGGTAACCCACAGATGGCAACTGTTGTCTACATGTCCCTGAGAGTTCTGGGCCAGTAAACAGAAAGGAGATACTGAAAAATAAGTGGGGAAGAACAAGTAAGCAGGAGAGCCTAACTGTGACTGTCAATTGTATAATTCCATAAAAACTGTAGTAGCAATCATAAATACACAGTAATGGAACAGTTTTGAATCTGAATTACACCAAAAACAAAGAAAAGAAAAAACCATGAGAATTTCTGCAGAGAATATTATATATACATAAAAATTTACATGGCATCTTCAACAAATTCAGGTATTTCAGATGCGCGCTAGGAATGTGTTTTACTGACCGAGTTGATTAGCTACCCTATTCTGAAAGATGACTGAACCTTTTTTTACTTCAAACTGCCCCAGGGCCAGTAGTTTCCAAATACTATTTGTCTTCAGGACTGGGCATCAAGTTTGTGCCACAGTTCCAATTTTGCTGTCAGTGGATGGCAGCACACGGGTCGGTTGCACTGCTGCTGCAGGTAGTTTGGCTGCAAGAGTTTTATCCCTGTGAGCTGTCTCCCCCACCATGCTGGTGGAACAGTTCAAGGAGTGCTGACTTCATCCCTGCACCAGGAACTTTTGCAGGGCTCAGAAGTAACTGGCAGGATTTGAGCAAAGCATTTGTGGAACTATTGGCCCGTCAGAAAATGTTTTAAAATGGTATTTATCTGGGACGTTGTTGTAACAGATGCATTTCCATAAATGGCTATACTCCACCTAGTTCACAATAGATACAACTGGAAGCTGATTTTGGTATTTGTAATCAGTTACACATGTTGGTGTGACAGGACCTCATCCCCATGGATTTTGGTGCTACAGGAAAGTCACAACATGCAAAAATATCAGTCCTGACCCAGGCAGAACACAAAGCATTTTAAAGTTAGCTTTAAACAGCTTAAGCCTCTCCAAGGATTTGAGAATGTGCTGCTCGCTGGGCTTCATCACACTGATCTGCAGTCCCTTCTCCCTCTTCATCTGGATGCACAAGAACCAGATTACTCTGCATTCCAGGCTATATATTCCAGTTCTTCACGTGCGTGAGCTATGGCAGACAGCCACGCCGATGCAAACCTAAGGAACTTCCTAACGAGCTGCTGTCAAATGTAAGATACATACCAAGGCACTTGGAGGAGAAGGAAGATCCCCTGTTTCCGTTTTAGTGAGGCAGTTCCGTACACCATTCTTCACCATCTCAATTTTTTCTTCATACTCAGCCTGCAGAAGGAGAACAAGTTATCCTCCACATCAGCATTACCTAAAGCTCAGCTCTTCATTTAAAATGGCATTACCACAACTGCTCTTGTGCAAAGCAGGGAAGACAGCAGGCCTTTCAAACAGAGATGTAAGGCTGCCACTCGCTATAGGAACACAGGGCTGTATCTCAGTACCTGCACTGGTGCTTGAAAGGGTTTGGGAAACCCTTTCTAGTTTTAAAAACTCAGCCTAGATGTTTTATATCTTCAGAGAGTTTTCTGTTGTTTTTAAGTTGCATGAAGTTAACAAAAAAAACCAGAAGAACCAGGAGACTAGACTTGTTAATGTGGGGTCCAATTCTGAAGCAAGTGTATACAGGACAGATTTTTGCCTTTATAAGACTGAAGATGTTAACTGTAACTTAACTATACTTAAAATAATCTTGACTTAAAACCTTATCTTTATTTTGTAATTAAAAAAAATGCAGTTCAGTATCTGGAGGACAAGCTACTCATATTTTAAAAAAGGAATGCAAAATTATTAAGGTTATTCTGTTTTTATTTCCAAAGTGCCACTTAAAGCTTGTTAAGAGAAATTAAGGCTTACCTCTACTTTTTCCAGTTGTTTTTTTACATTTGAAATAAATATTTCCCAGGAATCAATCTGTGACTTCAACTTAGGTGCTGCAGAAGCTGAGCTGCTGAAGCATTCAAGATTTTCAGTTAAACTCCCAACAGTCTCATTATTTTTCTTGAATATTTATGGCTTTAGTACAACAGTTCCTTCCCTTACCAACTAAATAGCAGTTAAAGAGTTCAAGTAATTTTAAGGTAAAATCAGTTAAATTCCTGGTACTTGGATCCTACTCAATCTTAGAAGTGGACTCCTCAAATGTATATTAGGATTCTGTAGCAACGCAAGGTTAAGGAAAGGGAACATGGCCTAAGTTTTAGAAAAGGTAACACAAAGGGCTCAATTAATTCCTTGTAAGGAAGGACACGATGTGCTGCTGCACAGCCAACAGTTCTGTTTGCACTCTTCTCTATTTACATGGCAGCTCTTTCCCAGTAATGCTGTGCAGGAATAACTTCAATGTGCCCAGTATCCTGATCTTCCCAGCTAAGAAAGAGAAGGAGAACCTTGCTCCTGAGTAAGTATCACACATCTTGCTAATCTCAGACTGAAAGAAATTCACCCTCAGGAAAGCTGTATTTAACTTCTGCTTCTATGCACCTTTCAGGCTAGCACAGCATCCCTTTGTGAGCAAACCCAACTTGTTCACTGGTATTTAGCAACTACTAATACAGAAACTTGACACCAGAAGTTTCAGTACCTGCTGAATGACTTTAATATCTTGAGGTTGGCTTCTGCATTGGCAGCTATGCCATTTAGCTTGCACACCTCAGCTTCCTTCCAGTTCGTGAGTACCGATACCTGTAACAAAATGTAGCTGTGTAAAAAAAAAAGTGCAGTAAAAGCACTGCTGCAGCACAAGGGGTAAAACCTCAAAACAGATTTTAATAAGTGTCTGAAACAATAGTTTGATGATACAGAGTACAACACACACAGTTCCTACAGTGAAAAATTTCAAGTGGAATTAACAGTCCTGGCAGATCTTTGGCAGGATAAAAAGGCTATAATCACTTCAGCTCATAGTACAAAACTTCCATAAATGTTCCATTTGCAACTTATCCCATATCTGTATTAAAAAAAAAAAAATATATATATAGGTACACACACTCAAAGTAATTAAGGCAGTCGGAAATATTGCCTGGTTAAAGACTGATGTGGACCAACAATCACATCTTTTGATAAAAATCCTACTGCAGGTAAGGCAGCCTTCATAGATGTGGTGGTGCTGAGGGAGGTGGCTTAGTGGTGACCTGGGTTTATGGTTGGACTTGATCACCTTAAAGGTCTCTTCCAACTAGAACAATTCTATGATTCTATTCTACAATTCAAGCTCTTCTTACAAAGGGAGAATTGTTCATGAACTTCAAAGCATTTCCAGTATAAAACATACTGGATAAAAATCTTGATACTTGTCAATACTCTCCTCCTCTCAGCGACACACAAGTTGGTTGTGGAATTCTGATCCTACCTGATAAAGAAGTAGCTACGTATTCCCTAACCATGACTTACTTTTAACAAGGAATTTCTTATGTTCCTGTGCTTAATTTTCATTAATGGAATCTATTCATAAAAGAAATAAGCATAAAACTCAATTACTAGTTGAATTTTCTTTGGGGCAATACCATATGCCCCAAATTCTGTGCATTTCTAGTACTGGTCAATGATAATAATAAAGTGCCTTGATCCACAAAGTTTTGCAGGATAAGTTCATTAACAGCACTTGTCAGTAGTTGATTAACACTTTCAGTATATGCTTATGGAAATTTTTTGATGCTGTGTTAAAAGTAAATCATTAGAGAAGGCTTCACCAGTCATCTTCCCCACCTACTATCAGCACAAACGATCCAAGTTCTGCCAAAAATGTTCAGTTTGTACCTCTGCTGTAACAGCTCTTTTCACACACTCTTGGCAGTCATCTTCACTCTTTTTTATAAGCTCTTCCAATTTTAGTTTCTCATTAGCAAATTTATTACTGTGAAATAAAAATAAGTTAATTGAGTAATGTGTAAAACAGTAGTATTTAAAATTTCTAACATTTTAGAGCTTTCCTACAGCTATTCTCTCTTTTTCCTCATTTACATTGTGCACCTTGTGCCTTCAGGTACAGCATCACGCTCATGTAACCGTGCTGCTGGCTCCACAGACACAACCCTCAGGACTTCTTCACCACATTTCACTGTGCAACCTAAAAAGCTTATAGGAGTTTGACTACTGCAGTCAGCTAAGTGTTATTGTTCTGAGCCTGGCCACATAGATAAAGAATGTACCTATAAATGAAAGCTTGACTTCATACTACATGCAAATGAGTAACTTATTGAAAATTTTTCAATAACCTTATGTACATTTAGGACTATAAGTGCATAAAGATCCAAAGCTACATACAATAGTTCAGTCCATCTGTACCACACGTACACTTCAACAGTGTGGTTCTAAAACACAGTATCGTACAATCAACAGAAACGTATGAGTGTATGTTGAAAAGCCAGATTTACTTACAATAAGTAAAAGTAAGCTAACTTGGAATAAGAGATAAAGGTTAAAGTGCTTAGTTCTCCTATGCCTTTGTCCACAGTGAAGCAGACAACTCCAATAACGACAGGTCAGCAGAAGAATATAAATATTGCTGGAAGGTACAGGAATTTTACCTTGTCTCGAGATATGTATTTAAATATCCGTTATACTGCTTTTCCTTCTCATCAATTGTCTTTGAACACCTAGAGTAATCAAATGTTTATTAAGCTTGTTCTGAAAAACATTCATCAGCAAACACATAACAAGTTCTTCTATAGCCGTAGTGACAACCTGTATGTTTTATATCCTGGTTAATACCGTAAGTGCATTTAAATGCATTCAGAATTAAGCAGTAATATAAAAGCAGGCTGATGATTTTTCAAGAGAGATTTGGCCCAAGCTGCAGATAATACAATAGCATTCAAGGAGGAAAACTCTTCTCAGGTGTGTAACCTAAGAGAGAACATTAAAAATACAGCAGGAACTGTCCAGTCTGGTTAGAAGAATTATTACTAAGTCAGTTTCATCAGTTATCTAGAAGCTATTTGAAACGTTTACCTGTAACTTGAAAAAAAAAAAAAAAAAGAAAATCAGAAAACAGATGTACATATTTCGGCCTGTTACTATGATAAAACATTTTGCTGGTGACAGAGCCAATTATAAGGTTAGTTTAAAATTTCTAAAGTCTTTAGAATGTTTTGAGAAAAGCAACTGGCAACACTTCATTAAATGGCACACTACTTGTTCTTCTGTGATCTCATGGACGCTTGCTGACTATGGTAGAAGCTGACTGAAGCTGCTCCTCGATAGCCAGGAGAGCTCACTGGCCAGGGGCACCACTGGGTTTGCTGCACATTGGGTCATGACGGGATTCATATACTGTTATTATTAATTTAAGTTCCATGGAAACCCCTGCAGACTTCTGTTTTAGGGTGAATGACAGGTAAAAAAAGCCTGCAAGAGATACATGCAGTTATGTGGTTCTTGTAGTTTTTCTTTCATCTGAGAAATGATTGACAGGACCAGAAAAGAAGGAAACATGCATGCTTGGATGACCCTCAGATAGAGTATATGGCAGAACAGACAAAAAGCCTGTAAGAAAATATAGATGGAGACCAGAGTTTGGCTGGGTTGACTGTCCAACAGAAGGAGGAAGAACGAAAACAGAAATGAAAGTTTAAAGCTAATTATAATGCAGTAGAGGAGCACACTGAGAAAGCAATGGTAAGGCATGAAGGACAGAAGAAGCAGTGCAGCTCTAAAGGATTCTGGAAAACATGGGAACATCTTTAAGAGTGAAGGAGTAGTATTTGTTAATTAGACTAAATAACATTGTTTGCAGATTCTATTAACAGCAGCTCTAATCCAAGAACTGCATTTAACTCATTTCAGAATGACAGTCAGGGCAACAAGTTTGAGTATTCACTCCGTACACATCATGTAATCAGTAGATACTGAAACTTAACACAGTCTATCAGAACTAACTGGTCTTACTGGTGCTTTAAAAAAAAAAAAAGGCAAAGGGAAATTAATATAAATCTGTATTTAAAATGAGTACCTTTCATTGGTATCTGTATGCTTTTTAGCTGTATTCCTTAGTGCTTTTAAGTACCCCTGATTTTCTTTTTTCTCCTGTTGCCATTTTTGCACTTGCATTTTTAAGTCTTGATGAAACCAATCCAGTTCATTTTTTGATACCTAAAAGCATAAAACAAGAAAACAGTTTCCAAAAATACTCCTTGATATACTCAAATACAAGTTAGAGCATATTGCTGACACTCCTGATCAAAAGCTCAGCCAGTGAAAATTACAGTAAGAGTTTTACTGGTGCTTAGTTGACTCTTAGTTCAGGTGTTTAGCCTGGGCAACAGACTCGTAAATGCTTTCCCACAATGATCTGCACTCCTCGTTTAGGTAGGTTCAGAATTAGGAAGGCAGAATTTAGGTAGGAGCCCCCGACACAAGAAGGATGTGGATCTCTTGGAGCGTGTCCAGAGGAGAGCCACAGAAATTATTAAAGGGCTGAAACCCAACTCTAAATCAGTGCTGATGCTGTTCTATCAGCACTAGCAACTGGGAAGTTACAACTCATCATACAGCAAGACAAGGCTAGTCCTATGGCTGGCATAACTGCTTATAAAAATGATGTATCATCAACATATCTTTGTGAAATATAAAACAAAAAAAAGTTTAAGAAAGTACCTACAATGCCCATGGACAAGTTCATCCATGCTGCATACAGCCACATTTTCAGCTGAAAACTTTTTGAGCTCACTTTTTTACCAAATATTCATACAGAAAAAACAGATGTGAGGCTCCACTGTCCCTTCTGTGGAAGCTTGCCAGGCTACTTGCAGCCAGTGCTAAAGCAAGAACTAAGGAGCTCCCAAGCTGCAGTACTCAAGTTTACTCTAACACATCATTGAAAGGAAAAAGATTGACTGACAGGCCTCATCTTACTGCAGATTCAAGAGATATCACAGGGACAGATGGCTTTGTTTTCATCTGAGTTTTCTTCAGTGCCTTTTTTTTTAAAAATGGAAAAATTCTTTTCATGTAGGCAAATGGGCAGCCAGTAGCATCTACAGCTTTAACCACAAAATCAATCCAGTCAAAGCAATAGGCTGGTAACGTTTTCTGGGGACTACTGCTCTTGCTCCCAGACATTTTCAAGGAAATAAAGTCTATCAGCAAACCTAACCAATCAAGACAAAATGAAGTCAGCAGCGTCGTGCTGTTTCTTCTTGGCTTGAACCAAAACCAATCCCCATCCACTAGAGGGAAGCAACGTGGGAGCTTTGCCGAGTCCAGGCTTCACAGCAGCGAGGACTACCAGTACCCTTTCAGAAATACTGTTGGTCAGTTACACCCGACCCTGTGAACCACTGCAGTCTGTGCTGGTGTTGCACGGGTAAGAACATTACCTCAGTCTCCTCAACACTCTTCTTCAGGAGCTCTTGCAAAGCACTGATCTCCTCTGAGCTTCGGCTCTGCGACTGCTCGTGCTTTTCCTCTGCTTCCTTAAGCTGTTCTTGTAATACCTGATGCTCTTTTTCCATACGTAAAATATCTCCCTGAAAATAAATCAGTTGAAAAACCCAATCTAATCTGTTACCACAGGGCACCAAACATTGATTCCATCTAAAAGTTACAGTCTGCTGTTAGTTGAGATTCATAATCTTGAGTGTGGTTTGGGTTAGGTTTGATAGGTAGGCTGGTTGGTTGGAGGGTAGGGACAGCGTTTAGCAGAGAGTTGTGTTCAATCCAGCTCAGGAGATGAACATTTGTGCTTGACCATGAACAGAATAGGACATGTTCAAAGGCCACTATATGCCCAAATTGAATATTTAAATCAAAACAAGATTTTTGGAGAGGAAATACTAAATTTCCCTAAAATGTACTCCAACATCTGAATAGCTACAGAACAAAGATCCAAAACCTCTTTGTTGTGGGCCTATATGAAGTTTCCAAGAACATCACTATAGAACACAGCTCCATATGAAGGAAGGGGGAGAATTCCACCACCCTAACCCACCTCGCCCCAAAGCCAAACCACAAACTACACACAACACCAAACAAAACAAAACAAAAAATTTCTGTTAAAACATGTCATTTTCAGAGAACCTTTATCTTTTCACTAACAAATTTTGGGCATTCCTTTAACTTTCTTCTGAGAAATATACACAAATATACATGTAACTTACTTGTTGTATTTCAAATGGATGAAAAGGCAAGGTGTTGGTTTCCCTATCAGCTACTTCACGATTTACCTAGAATACAAAGAAACATTAGCTGATTAAAAAAGCTTTGCTGTTTATACATGCAACTACTAGATCAGCTCTGTTTTGGGGCTTTCTACCTAACCTACAATTTTACAAATCCAGCTACATTAGGATGTAAGTCTATCTACAGTGTAAAAAAACCAATTTATGCCAAGTGTTTCTGAAACAGACTTCCATCTGTAATGAAAGTGCTTTTTTTGTTATGGTCTTCCCCTAGTGATCTTCATGTGACCATGAAGTACTTGGAGAAAATTCTCTGAACCTTTAAACACTCTAAATGCTCTAAATGTCTAAATTAGTGCTCTAAATGTCTGAAAACTTAAGACTTGCAGAAACAGTGTCTGACAGTTCACTGAGTTGTGTTTTGTGACTCCTCCTAAACTCATGACCTACTACATAAGTGCCTCTACTTACACGGGACGAGACTCGAGGACCTTCAAGTCCCTGCTTATTTTCCTCCAATACTATCCATATACTGACAAAACTGAAGTTCAAAATCTGATCATGTGACATACTAAAGATCCAGTTTATGTTACTGTTCTAACAGGCTATTAAAAAAAAAAAAAAAATCACAATCTGATAATGCTGAATGCCTTGCTCTACCACTTTTGCAAACTGAAACCTATCTGTTGCTTAGGGACTGCAACCAGAATTGATTAAACTGAGATCTGTTGCTTCTTCTGTTACGCTGCTGCACGTGTTCAAGAACCAAAGAGAAATCTCATCTGAACAGCCCAGTCAGCCAAGTGAGGAAGTCCATCTCACTTGACTGAGGTTGATGGGAAACTAACTTTTCAGTAACAGCTCAGGAAAGGTTTAAAGTGAAGAAAAGTTTTGTACACAAAACAAGTTTGGAAAAAAACACACCAAAACCCTACCATGTTAACATTTTGCTAAATAGAGAAAACAGTAATAGCAAGATAACTGTTTATCTTTCAACTATGAACAGTGATTCCTCCCTGAGTGACAAGAAAAGCAGATAAGGAACTCCTTCCCAGCAGTCCCTTCAGCTTTCTGGGTCACTTCTCAAAAATGGATGTGTGAAACTGCCATATCCATGGCTGGGAAAATCTAGCACCTCAGTCCAAAATGTTTTCTGCAACAAATATGGGTATGATGGTTGTCTCCCTCTGTTACCCAAAGTGTGTTTTCACAAGGGGTGTCTGCTGGTCTAACTCTGGGGTACCATTAAAGAGTGAATGCTCCATCCCCAATTCTACTCAGATGCACTCTCTGCCCCTTTCCAGGTGTTTCTCTGCCTGTAGGACAAAACTTTCATTTTTTTTTTTTTGCTTCAGGCAGGAAAACCAAGTGTGATGGGAGTCTGTCCCCTGAACTCATCCTACAGCTGGGCTGTCACTCTAAGGCCACAAAGGAAGCATCAGCTAGGAACTGGTGAAATGTACGAACTATTTTATCTTCAAATATTGTCAAAGTTAAAACAAATCACTGACCTAATTACAAAAAGAAAAAAAAAAAAAACCACTGATGATGCAGAAGGAATTTCCTTAATCTCAAAAGCAAAAGTTTAAATAGATGCACACCAGTTCCCCCTCTTTGATCCTGAGTCAAAAGGTCTGTGAAAATTTCAGGCAAAACAAAATTCAGTGACTATCTATTTAAAGAATTACAAATGAAAACCAAGAGTAGGTGTAAAAAGTGTCAGCAACTTACACTGCAAGTTCTAAGGAAGTCCCCAGTCTGATAAACACCTCAGTATCTTCCAAAAAAAAGGCCACAAGTTGGGAGATAAGTACTAAAGAATGCTAAATACTGCTTTTAAGATCCCCTACATTCGGGTAGCTGGAAGTATTACTTGAATATTTGCTCTTGAAACTCTTAAACATTTGACCTTTTGGGAAGTCATAATGAAACCATTCAAAAGCAAGTTGCACCTTCCAGTTGCTTAACATTGTCATTTATAACTTAAAAGCTCTTAAGTAACTGTTCTGTTTTGATTTCTCACCTGAACAGCTATCATCCTTGTATGGGGATTGCTCTTCACTAGAGGGAAACTTCTGCTTTCTTTCGTCGTCTTAATAACCTGTGTACCACACTCAGCTTCGTTTGTACTATTGGCAAGAGCACAACTGTCCTCGCAGGCTGTGTTAACCAAGCTCTCCAGCTGGCAGCGAGGATCTTCACCAGTTTGTGTTTCACTTGATATAAAACTGTCAGGGATGTATTTTCTGTCCGAGGTGGATTTGCCATCACCCCGAGGAGCTGCACAATCAGCATGACTATAGCTAGGTTGCACAGCAACGTTTGGCAGGAGAGGCATTTGAGAAGGCACTGGCAACACTCTCTGATATTGATAACCCCAGGAACTCTGAGGCAAAAATATATCAGGATTTTTAGAACCAACGCACTCTAGTAAAGTGTCTGAAAACGACGACTCTTTGTCTACAGTATCAATACTCTGACTGGACAAAGGATGCACTGATTCACACGAAGCAGGAAAATACCAGGGCAAATATTGTGGAGTCTCATAAGTTGCTACTGTTAAGTCAGTAGATGTTGATATATAGGGATTCTTAGGGTAGGACAGGGGTTTGAATTCCTTAGCAGACGGATTTAACTGTATCTTATTCTGGGAAGATTTTTCTTGCACATCAGAGACTAAATAATTTTCTTCATCATTATCTCCAGTTTCAGATAAATACCTTTAAAAAGAAAAAGCTGTCATTACTATAGTATTTCATAGGTTAGCTTTTTGGAATAATACTTGTTAATACTAATAATCAAAGAACCTCTAGAACTACTGAAGATTGTGTTCTGAGAGAGTGGTTAAGTGCTGGAATGGGCTGCCCAGGGAGGTGATGGAGTCATCATCCCTGGAGGTGTTGAAAAAAAAATGAGTAGATGCAGCACTTGAGGCTATGGTCTAGTGGTTAAGGAAATGTTGGGAGGAAGGCTGGACATGATGGTCCATCCCAGAGGTCCTTCCCAACCATAAATGTTTCTATGATTCTGTGATTCTAGCCAAACAGTATTTTTGTAATACTCTTGTTTATCTACATCTTAGTAAAAATATGAAATTATTTTAAAGCACTAGTACATACTTTTACATATATCTACATATTACAGACTACCAGGACTCAAATTCTGAACTTAATACAATGTTATAAAAATTATGAAGTAATTTTAAACCCTGTAAACTACTAAGGACAGAAATGTATACGTACCCATATATGCCCTCACAGATTTGATCTGGGTTATTATCCAAAAGTCTTTGATAACTATTACTATTTGAAATGTTATAAAGAGCTTCAAATTCGTCTAGTTGCTCCTGAAGATGTTCGGGGATTGCAAATGGTTCATAAGAATTTGTAAAATCTCTGTAGCATTTAAAAAAAAGAAGACATAAGTAAATAATGCATATGAACAATAATTCTTGTATCTGAAAATAATTTTACTTTTTTTACAAAACAGTAGTGCACGCTAACTACATACTGCTACAAAAATACTTCAATAGCAAACATTTTTCTAACAGGCAGAATAAACACAATCACCAAAGTCCTTATCTGCTAAACTTATTATCTGACCTGCCACCAGCTACTACTAACAAGGCCTTGTCCTTGCAAGCAGCTTTCACATTTACAAGCAAGAGCAAAACCAGGCTCAGAATACAAGAGTCTGACTCCTGATAACCACAGTCTGAGCAATCCACCACAGATTACCTCCACTTCACAGCCTGCTTGATATGGCATGGATGGCAAAGTTCAGTTGTGGCTGATGGAGTATATACACACTTATGAACTAATTTCTTGCTACATTCAAATGGAAGAAAAGGAAACTAAGTCTTACTTGAAAGAATAGCTTTTAGATTAGATGATGTATATAGTGCTGCAGCCTGGAAACCATATGGTTAATTCGTACATTGTTAAGGTCTTTAAAATTCTAACACCCCTTTCATAACAGTCCCAGAATCAGAGAAATAAAGGCTTTACATAAGCTCCTATCAAAACCTCTTAGATGTTAACCCAGAGTTGGCTGTTTCCAAGACACTGTCTTCTCTGCTACCTGCAAAGCACTTTGGAGTTTGAGCAATTAAAGCAAAGGTACTTGATGGCAGTACTTACAACATATTTTCTTCTATAAACATCTTTTCTTCTTGTGGTGCTGTACTAACTCCACTGGATAATACTAAAACAGACTAATTAAAAAAAGATTATTATTTACCTCAAAAGATTATGAAAATTGATCCACTGTAAAGACTATGAGTAACTTATTTACATTGAACCTTGTTCTGTAATTTCATTGTGTTTAGAGGCCATATTATGAACTGTAAAGTTTAAGTACAATTACCAGTACTAAAAGCCATAGCAGCAAAGTTCTTAATTTCTGACCAGTAAATGGAACACTTGCATCTTCAGTCATGGATATGCCCATGAAATTTATCAGAAATTACAATTAAACACATAATTTCAGATGTATTTCATGAGGTTTAAGGACACATTTTTGTTTCTTAAAACGACTGGTAGTGTCCTTCTCCAAATCTGCTGTTTGTCAGTGCAAAACGAAACAGAGCATAAAGTATTAATTGCACAGTGCAGTCAGTGTACTGTATTCACACTTTCCCATATGGCAGCTTAAGATCCAAACAGTCGTTCAGAATTAAGGCCATGGGTGGACTGAAGGTATTGGTATCCAGTCAGAGCCAAAGTTATTCACATGTAACTTTTTTTCCAAGTTTAGAAATACTTTTTATACTGACAAATTCATACTGTAACAAAACAGAACTCTATTAATTGATTCTTTCCACTATTATTCTACTTCAGGAAAAGCTACTTCAAGAATGAGTCTCCACAAGGGATTTAAGAAAACAGCCTCTCTACATCTGAATGCCAGTAATTTGAAGAAACCTATTTGTAGTAAGCAGCTAAGAAGTTACTCACCCTTGAGTCTTTTGCATTTTTCTTCCTGTTTTTATTTTTAACTTTGATACTGTTAGTCTGAAACAGAAAAAAAAAAAGTCACTTTTTTTTTCATTAGGATAAAATCATGATGCATTTCCAAAACCACTATGTAAACTTTAACGTTTTGTATTAAAATTCTCCTTCTGGTTTGACCAGCAAGATCTACAAGGTGAAGTATGCAGTCTTCTCCCTCTCCACTCCATTGCCAGATGGAAAACACAAAAAGAAACAGAGCTTTGCAAGACTACCTGTTTTGTTCCTTCTCATCATTTTCCTCTTTAAAAGTAGAGAACATTAATTTTTTAGAAACAGTTTCTGTCATTTTAGTATTTCAAATGCTCATTACTTACGGCTCAAATTGCATAGAGCTGCAACTTCCCACACAACGCAGCTCCATATGGGGAATAAGAAGCACAGTTCCACGTGGGGAACTGTCAAATATTCTGGTCACTTCAATTTTCTAAGATATGCAAAGATGAAAGAACTAAAAATGCATCTCCACTTTAATAGGACTGTGATTATAGATTAAGATAACTCTACTAACAGTAACTTACTAACATTCTATTTTAGGATATAAGTGACACTGAAACAGAAGTAGTTTTATTGCAATGACTTTCACCTCACTCTTAGATTTCCAATTCATAGAAATGAAAAAGCAAAGAATTTCACATTTTATTAAGATGTATATTAACTCACTCTACAGATTTATTCTGTATCAAAAGTAAATCCTGGATTTGTACAGATAAACTTATCTGCAGGCTGGAATAACTTTAAATGAATGCCTCAAATGTATAACTAACCAAAACACACAGTATACGTCTGCCAATTAAAATAGATTTTAATGGCAATACTAATCAAAAAGTTATAAGGAATGATGTACACTTTAACACTTGCGGGTTAAATCTGAAAAGCATCTATTAATTGTAATTATTAAAAGCAAAATATGTCTAACTCACTTATAAAGTACTTTGCTTCTTAGCAGAAAAAACATGAAATTCCCAGCCTTAATGACATCTGAAGGCAAAGCTGGGTTTCACACTACCTTCCCATTTGTTGCTTTAGGCCATAAAATACAGAACAATTAGTGTCCAAAATGATGCAGAGATTCACGTTAAGCACACTCAAGAAGAATCCATGCCTCAAATCTGGTTGTCATGGTAAATACACAGATGCAACAGTTAGTATCTCCCTGTAAGTTTGGTACTTTTTCTTAATTCCCCAATGATACTTTCAGAGATATTTTAATATTTAGAGTTAAGACCAAACTGCTGTTATCCAGTAGTAAGTAAACACTACTCCCATACACCTTATTGGCCTCATTTTCCCTCTCCAAAGGAGGTGATAGAGCACATCGGTGTAGCCTCGTCTGCCTTCACGACAACTTCCTCATCTGCATCCCTGAAGTGCCCATAATATAAAATGTATCTTTTTGGCTTATGGTTGAACTGAAAACTCCACAAGCATTTTGCTGAGGGAAGTTTAGGCAAAGTGGTATGCAGTCTTCAAATGCTTTAAGAAAAGGAGCAGGGTAGCAAGGTGGAGGTAAAACGGAAGAGTAAATCTCTAATCAGGTCTGAAGGATGAAGATGTAAAATAAACCAAGAGAAGCACATCTCTGTTTGCTTTTGCACATTCTTAAAACACCAAACACACACTTGTTTCTGAGCTTCTTCCAAATAGATATTAAGTTCACTTACCTCTATATTTTCATTTCCTGGCTTCTTTAATATAATGGTAGGGTCATCTATTGAAAAGGTAACAAAAGCACGTTCATAAACAGAAATAATAACATTTCATGTAATTTAAAATTTTGAGCTATGAAATTCTAGAAATACTACCACCAAAGCATGTTGAATACTTGCTGCAGAATCTTTATGCTTAAACTGGAAGATCAATACTTATTTTGGCTGGACATTATGTATGCATAAAGGTAAACTCACGTGCTGGTTGTGGCACATGAACAGAACAGCAGAATGTACCCTAAAAATGGGTGGCTTGCCTTTTGAGGTCATACTGCCTTTTCAGCACTGAACACAGAAGATCCCTTATAATGAGGCCATTAGTTGTTTGCTGAGATTTCAGCCTTTTACAAAGCCTATCAAATACTGTTAAATCCAGACAAATAGAGTGCTTGGAAGAATCATGATCTTTGCATACTTACCCATTTTATCAAAGAATTCATCTAAAGCTTGATGAAGAAATGGAAAATTGTCTCTGTTATCTTCTAGCAGCCATATAAAACAACGTGTTTTCTCTATGGGTGGTTTTAAGAAATAATCAATGTCTTCAGAACTAGTTGTCACATACTCAAATTTACTACCATATTTCTCATTCCAGTGTGTGGTTAAAATAGAAAGGTCAAGCTCTTTTAAAAATTGTCCATATTGAAGAAGAAAGTTCTTTGTAGCTGTCAGACCTAAAAGAGATAAGAAACCCCAACATTTAATTCTGGCTTCAGTGTTTTAGTGCTCACTGTGTGAGATTTCTCTTCAAAGAGGAACAGTTTGTCCTAGAAATTCAATAAACAGTAGGCTGAAACAGATTATGTCAAAGCTTTTGTATCTTGAAAATGAAAACAAAAATAATAATTTGAGTTTATATGTATTTTACTCTGTCAACAACAAATTATTACTTGTATAATAAACCTATACAAATTCCTTAAAGCACATGGAGGCAACAGAAGAGAATGAACAACCCAAATCTCATCCAAGGTTTTGGCACCTTATGTCCATTTTGCCTGCAAAAACAAACTTCTCCTTTCACCCAGTCAAATTCAGTATGAAACCACACAGCAAGGCAACACTGCCAAAGAGCATAAAGTTAAATTAGTTCCAATATATACAGTCAAGTAAACTTTTATGATAACAGCCACATCATTATTTACTTTCCAGAAACAATTTATACAGACCTTATCGTTTAAGCCTATTCTGGAATTTGAAGACACTAGAAGGTAAATTCGTTCAATTTTCTCCTTCCTACACAGACAAAGCCCTGCCCAGGTTAGAATGCTTTACCTGTAGAGACAAGACAGGTTGCTCCTGCCTTACCAATGGTCACACTTTCTTCTCTAGAAATCCTGGCAGCTAAGGATCAAGTAAATTAAAAACAGGAAAGCTTCACTTGACCATTTAAAGTTAAGAAAGCAATACTGGAAAACAGGGAGGTTATCCTCTCACCTGTAAACTGAACACCCACGACAGGGTAAGGTCATCTGCTAGCACATAAACACACATCCTACCTAAGTTGTTAAGGTGTTTCAGCCACTTGTGTAGTTTGGGATCCACTTCTTCCAGCTCACTCAGCACATGGATAAACCCCCTTGTTTTCACTCTGTTTTTCTCCTGAGTTAAGTAACTGATGAGCTGCTCCATCACTTCATGTGACATGCTACTCATTTTGGAATACGACGTGTAATCCTCCTCACTAATTACAAACCAGGAAAGCAATTCCTTTAAGAGTTTGGAAGCATCATGAACAGCTGTTTTTATTCGCTCAGCATTCCGACTGATATGCTGCAGGACTCGATCTCCAGCATATAAATCCTGAACATAACCTATAATGGGATTTAAAGAAAAACAAAACAACATGAAACAAAGTAAGATTTCATGTCTGTTTACCACAATTAAAAGCATCAACTTTAAAGTACAGATAATTTGGACTAAGTGGTGTTTAATTGTTTGCTTTATTGCAACACTGAAAATCACAGAATATGCATCTTGCCATATAACTAGCCTTAGCATTATGAATTTGACATAACATGGTTTTAAATCTCGTTTACACAAATAAACGTTAGCTTGTTAACTAGGTTTGCAAAAGGAAAAAAAAAAAAAAAAAATTACCTGCCAGTAACAGCAGCTCCAAGCAATTGTTGATTCAGATTTACATGTGTGGCCTGCGTGCCAGCTCTGATACTGAGACAGAATTCCCTCAAGCATCAGTTCTCAGAGCAAAGACACTTCTGAGTGCCTGAGCATACACCTAGTAGGAAACCTTTGCCCTGACCCTGCCACTGGTTCTTTGTAGAACAAGAGCGAAAAAGATTAATGGCTCGTATCAGCCTTCATCTTTCGTTATTCCCCAAGACCACACATTTATGGAACACCACTTTCAGGGCTCAACTGACAGCAATCATACATCAAAAGTAGACCCAGAAAAATTTCTTTTAAAAAACAAAGTGCTACATACATCAAGAAAAATTGACTATTGTAACAAACAGTTCCAAGTGCACTAATAGATTCAATGAACTTGACAGATATAAGCCATGCATTAAAATCCTCTGTATCTGACAAACGTGCATGCAAACAAGTGCCCCTCTCACTTGCACTCCTCTCCAATTTACAAGCAGATTTGTTCTTATTTAAAAGTAGGTATTGCTGCTAATAAAAAAAACAAAAAATACCTTTGTGAGCTATGTGGTGGTGCAGACACACTCTCCCCGCCCTTTTTGGGCCATGCTGCTATGTCAGCACCAGCCATTGTGCCCTTGCTTAATTACAGGAATGCAGCAGGCTGGGATAACTCGGTGCTTGCTGATCTTGACTCAGGAGGCAGTGAGCTGAAGCAATCCATTATCTTCCCCTCCTAGGCACAAGTACAGCCAGCCACAACAATCGGGTACTCCCCAAGGGCACGTGAAACTCCTGTTGCCTGGGAAATGCAGCCCCTCCTGCCTGGATCACAGCCCACTTTTAAAGGGGCCAAGACTGACTGACAAAATTATGGCCACAATGAAAAAGCACTGACTGAAGTCAATCATCTTGCAATCTTACAAATACCAATCCTAAGCCAGGCCCCTTAAAGCATCCCAGAATTGCAGTGGGCTGCGTCTCAGCATCTCCCTCTCAGCTGGGACACCCTTTAGGTCAGACTCTCTAACCACCCACCAGGGAAAGGCCAACAAAAGGGAAGACTGTCAGCATGCAATAAGGCAACGAAGGAAGACGTAAGTAACTCACTATAATTGGATTTCATAAAATTCTAAAGATTATTGAGCACCAAAATTTACTATAGTCTGCTGAAAGAGAAACAATCACAGGTCAACCTCTACACCTGTGTATATATGTTTGTGTGTGCGTGTATGTGCAATTCCCTTAGATAACTTTGCTGAATCCTTATCTGAATCACTGCATAGATAGTAGCAAATTATTAACTGATTAAGCACTGCTGTATATTTATATATAAGCATACATCCTGATCTTATGATTTATTGTCATAGCATTAGCAGCTTTTAAACTGCTGCTACCTTAAAGTTATATAGGGCCCACAATGTTAAGTCACCATCATCAAAATCCCTGTACACATTGTCACATTAAACCACTATCACTGAAATCCCCATACCCAAATAGTCATAAACTGTTGTCCAAGTCTGTGACTGGGACTGGATCTAGCCACACCCTCTGAAGGAGTCTTCAGAGAAAAGGGGACCTTTCTGGACCTCATGACGCAATAGGAGGGACTCACTCCTTTCATTCCTCTATATCCTTGGACATAAACCATTCACAAAGTCTGGGGTTAAGGGTGGACCTAACATCAACTAGGCTCCTCTCTGAGGAGTTAAAGAGAGCAACAGAGTCTACTGTGAACCTTGTGACTCAACAGGAGGGTCTCTCCTTTTCCTCCGTAGTCTTAGAAATTAACTGTTGACCAGCTCACTGGGAAGGCTTCCCTCACCCATTTCACCCCCAGTCTCTGTATAAAATCATTCTGGCCCAACCCCAAGTCAATTTCCCTTTGTGCATTTCTCTCACAATCACTAGTCCAGCACCAAATCAATTTACCTTTGTGCACTTTTTCCACATTGTATGTAATAAATGTGAACTTTACTATCAAATGGAACCTTAATATGTCTGTTAAACTTTGCTAACTTCTATCAAATTCACTCAATTTTGTCAAATTATCATTCTACCTCAATAAAACATATTGCTGCTCTCCTATTCTGAGGTGCATTCCACTCACTCTGCAGAAAGCAGGATCTTGAATCAGGATCCCACGGCACACGGCACAAGTGATTTTAGTGCTATAACCACTCCCTCCGTGACAAGCCAGCTCTCCCCAGAAACTGGCCTCACAAGCTGTCAAGATAGCTTGGGAGACTAAATTAGACGTTCTGAAAGATCTCCTCATGAAACTTCCCCAAGTGAAAAAACATAGTAATAGCTCATTCCCGAAATCATGCAAGACTTCAGTTTTATCACAGAATTAACTCAGGACAAATTAAAGAGGTTGGCCAACACCAACGCACATATTTTTGCAGAACTATGTTAAAGTTGCTTCATCTAGACACATTTCCTGCACCAGTGTCACAGCCTTTACCCACAGTACTGCAGGGTGAGTGCTTCTGTCATAACAAAGGCATCTTAAGTTCTTAGAGGTTTAAGGGCGTTTACTCACATACATGTGAGTGACTTGGCAGTGGACCCAAGGACTAGAACTAAAGATAAGCCATAGGAAAGCCTAGACTAAAAAAAACCAAAACAAAACCAACACACAACAACCAAAACCAAACCACAACGTCAACTGACTGTGATTTTAGAAGACCACATGGAAGCAAAAATAGTAATCCATGGTGCTAATGGAAGGGATTGCTCTCAAATAAAATGGTCAAAAAACCCCCAACTAAACAGTTTAGCACCCAAAAGTGTTTTACAGAGCAAGTGCCGGGACATGCCACTGAGTAGACAGCAGGGTTCTGCACAAATGAGTAGAGCATGTATGGGATGAAAAAGTGTCTACAATGTATTTAATATTAAATTCCACAAGGAAATTAACATGAACACTATTTTAAAGTTAGTAATACAGAAAAAAGAACACCCACTTCAGTTTGCACCATAGTCTGCCCTAATATAAAATGCACTGGAAGTTCACACCTCTGAAATACACAACACTGCACATCAATGGACTACATACTTAAAAAAGTATTTTATTTTCCCCACTCCTCTGAAATATACATTAAGTCACTGCAGTTTCTGCAGTTAGGATATTGTTCTTTATCTGAAACTATTACAGGTTTTTTTCCCCCTGTAAGAGTGTCCTCACTTATTGGGCATAAAGCTTTTTCTAAAACCACTTCTGAATACATTAATTTGGAATTTGAGCTTTTGCCCTCTTCAGGGAGCTTCTTCATGAACTAATGAAGCAAGAACAGTGCTTTTATACAATGAACGCAACCATACAGTAAGATCTTATGGTTATTTAGAAATTAAAAACAGAACTTAAATAAAAGTAAACTTAACTGAAACTGCAAGTCTGTAATGGGGAGGTTATGTTCAATATTAGTATTCTGCTACAATTTCACTTAGGACATTCAGAATACTATTTATGCTACCTCATGGTAGCTTAGAGCAATAAGCTACACTTTCACATACCGCTGTGATGACTACATTGAGATGGCTCATCTCCCATCTGGTTTTCTTCTGTTTTCTTTTTAGCAGAATTCTGTGCCTCTTCTCGGGCACACTTCCTTCGTATTTTTTTTTCTTGTTTCATTTTTAACTTCCTAGGACTGAGAAAAGCAATTAAGTGGTGATCCCAGCATTAAATATGTTGCCAAAGGCCTTCACAGAATCACAGAATGGTAGGGGTTGGAAGGGACCTCTCGAGATCACCTAGTCCAACCCCCCTGCTAAAGCAGGTTCACCCTGAGCAGGCTGCACAGGAACACATGCAGGCAGGTTTTTAGTATCTCCAGAAAAGGAGACTCCACAACTTCTCTGGGCAGTCTGCTCCACTGCCCTGTCACCCTGAAAGGAAACTTTCTTCTTTATGTTTATCACTGGGCAACACTTAAAAGAGCCTGGCCCCATCCTCTCAACATCTGCCCTTTAGATATTTGTAAGCACTGGTAAGATCCCCTTTCAGTCTTCTCTTCTCCAGGCTAAACAGCCCCAGGTCTCTCAGCCTTTTCTCATAAAAGAAGCTCCAGTCCCTTCATCATATTTGTAGCCGTCTGTTGCACTCTCTCCAGTAGTTCCTTGTCTCTTGAACTGGGGAGCCCAGAACTGGACACAGCTCTCCAAACATGGCCTCACTAGGACAGAGTACATGTGGAGGCGGACCACCCTCAAACCACTGGTCACACTCTTCCTAGCGTTAGGCACATCTAAGTTATCTTAAGACACATGTCCTACGATAGCTATAAGCTCCACTCTACTATAACATATCCTGCTGAAAGACAGTTTTCATTTAGAGTTTAAGAGACCACAAAATTTTAAATTTCAAATATTGATTTGGTTTATCCTCTCGGCATGACTCCTCATTACAACCTTACTTGACCAAAAAGTTAAACTCATTTATGTCAAAGGAGCATGTATCAACAACCAATATCAGCAATGACAGCATCATTATAGGCTGCTTTTATTTACACTTTGTAAACGTTCACAAGAAGTTGCTTCCATAGCAAATGCTGTGGAACAGTGTGGTGTTGAATTTATGCCACACAGTGATACCCCTCCCATCCAGCTAAAATCTTGCTGAACTTCTTCCCTCTATCAAGGGGAAGGAACAGAACATTACTCACAATCTCAGACAGAAAACAGAGGTGCTGTTCTAACCTAGATACACTTGACTTGCCAGGCATGTGTAATTAAGACTCTTAAACCATTAAGAGTATCAGACAATCATTCTTTCAGCATTAAGTATCTTAGCACACAAGAAAGACATGGATGGAGAGCAAAAGTAAAGAAACAGTCCTGAAGTTCTACACACGACCTCCAAATCCCACTTTCCACAAACACCACATTCCTTCCCTGCCCACAGACTTCACAATGAAGTTATGTTTCAGGTATAGACCGAGAAGTTGACTGCAGCAATTTATATTCAAAACCTAAAAGAACAGCTTTCCAAAGTGCTTGGGCTACTTTATCAATTCTTAAAAATGCATTAAAACCAATCCTAGAGAAATCTGTTTTGTTCTCTCATTGAGTCAACTTAATTTTTTAAGAGTAGAGAGCTTACCTTGAACACTTCTGTTTAATAACAGCTCTTGGTGGTTCTCTGGTTTTTGTGATTTTTTGTTCAAACTACAAAAATAAGTGACATCATATTAATTAAATTTGTGTTACAATGCAATACTGCTGTTATCAAACCTGGGGCATTTACTGCTTTCCAAAGCATCCAAAGTAGTACTACAATAGATATAATGCAGCCTACGTAAGCCTCACAAAGGTCTACCTAAAAAGATCTACTGCTACAACTTGGTACCAGCAAAACACCTTTATCCACAGAAAAGCCAGGTTGAAAGATAAGTCAGAAAGAACTGGAGGCTGCTTTGCTTTACCAGTAGGCCCAAAGCAAACTTTACAATCTTTCTGATGTTTTTGTTTGTTTGGGTTGGTTTGGGGTTTGTTTTTTTCCTCACAGACCAACACTTCCCTGGGAAGAAGTATCCATCTCCCGGTGACTCTGTAGAGGCTAAGAGCACTCTTCCAATACAATTATTTCATCTAGCAAGACTACCTAAGAGTTAAACTAACAGTTCCTTTCATGTTGCACAAGCTAAACAGAAAATGAAGCTCCAATTCCCACCCATGACAATTCTAACCAATACCATAAGGTAACACCTGCTCCACCAGAAGAACAGGCAAGAAAAGAACACGTAATTAATATTCCTAAATAATGCTCAGATTCTGTAGTTACAATAGCATATTACATACGAGTTTGCAGTTGCATTCTCATCCTCACTTTTATCTCCTTTACCAGAGTAAATATTTTAAAGATTATTTTCACATTTTATATGTACATTTACTTACTTCACATTTTATCAAACCAGAAGAGCTGAAAATAACTATTTTTGAAATAAGGCCCATACAATCAGGAGTGAAACATAATGCTTGAAGAAAATCCTGTAGGAGAAAAATGATAAACATGACAAAGACATTTAAATTCAGGCAGTATCTTATACTGATTACAGTTTCTTCATTTGAGGTGACCCAGGTAATTAAATCTAGCATAGTCCCCAACTCTGACTGGATGAAGAAAGCAAGTAACAGCTGACTTGGTGAGGCTGGCAAATCAAAAGGATCCTAGATCTGCGGCATATACCTGCTATTCCCAAAGCTATAGCAAAGCCCCTCTTCCTCTAAACTCACATTCAAGAGTCAATTTTAAGAATATTCTTTCATGAGTTCATACTCTGTCCAGACTTCACTCCATTTCTTAATGTCTGCTGATAATGTATTTTGTAAAACTCCTTTAGACATGCTCAATGTCACACTGACTTCAACAGCAAGACTGTAGAAGGAAAAAACCTTCTACATGGAAGGACATAAGTGATGCATAATAGACTAAACATACTAAGCCTTCACACAATCAGGCCTCTCTTCTGTAGATAACAGCAAGCTTTACCCTCATCTGCATGTCAGACATCTAGCAAGAGACTCCTATTTCCCATCCCTTCTCCTGACATTGTCATGTGGGTGCAACATCAACCAGGCTGTAGTGCTGCACTGCCCAAAAACCTAAGGACTGCTATAAACTTGACTAAAAAAAAAAAAAGGAGACACTTGTACACTGACACACCTCTTACCTTATCATTTTTATCACTGTACTTTGTTGTTTTCAGCTTTTTCCAACAGCCGATATGAAATTCCACTCTACATTGTTGACAGCAAGTAAAACGTATAAAACCCTAATATTGAGAAAAAGTATGGATTTAAAACTTTGGAACAAACCACCACACCTACAGGAAACAGCGTACAACTTAACAGTAGGTAGGATAAGATGTGTTCCAGATAGCTCTTTACTATGGAAGGGAGCAGGAAACATGTAAATGTAAAGTTTTATTTCCCAAACCCTTTTCAACTAAAAATTTACCTTGAAGTCTGGGTCTGTAAAAAATATTTGGATTTTCGATTGGCCATGGCATTGCTGATATCGACAAATTGCATCTGGTTCTGGAGGGAACTTGCATTCCTCAATACAATTCTTTAACATCAGCTGAGAACACAAAATGATGTAAGACAAGTTGCACAGAAACCAGGAAAAGACTCAGTACCTACTTACAACCTTCTAGGGAACTCTGCAGTGAAACATCTCTTTTTGAACAGCAGATGACAAATACCAAAAGAACTAGAACTCTTCTAGTGAAAGCTATGGAAAATTGTCCTTTTATGGCCAATATTCAAAGGCTCATTAGAACTCATAGCTTCACCACACGCACATTTATCTTGGAGCAAAGTTTTACATGCAGACCAATTCCAAACAGAAGAATATAGTACATTTCTCATTGCCAAAATGATGAGACTGATTACTCGAATAACATGACAAAAATTGAGTGTCTGCTCATTTCTGCCATTTCCCAGCATTTCAGGATTACCTCACCTGGGATCTAGGTTATGAGATCAAGTACATTCCCTAGGGACAACTCAGACCTGGCCCTGCACTGGAGCTAGTGAGATCTTCCAGAAAAATGCCTGAGGTAAAGAAATTATGGTGGCTTTACGTAAAGTCAGTTCAAGTCCCACAGGGTTGCCACCAAGCCCAGAATAATAATAAAAAAAAAAAAAATTAGAAACAGACCACTAGTTACAGCCCTTTAGATATTTGCATTATGCTCTCCAGAAGCCCCAGACCACTGATCTATTACTGTGGCGTCAGCTGGTGGTCTATGAGAAATCTAAGTCAGTTCTTGTTTAGGAAATGACAGCACAGCTTCTTCCACCAGAAACAACAGGTCAGTATAGTATAGCCAAGTTCACACACTACAGTATAGGAAGTGTCACACTGTCTCCATGTAGAGGAGCTTATGCATCTTCTTGCATGGTTTATCCAGAAAGCCTTCACTAGTAACAGTGACTCAATTATAGTTTAAAAACAGTAACAGCAATAATAATTAAAACAAAAAAGACTGTTCACTGTGAGAGAGCAATTTGTACTATACCCCAAGTTAGAATTTTTCCAGTCAAACAGGAAAATTTACCATACAAGTCCCACTGCATCAATCAAGAACTACATGGCCACACTCTCCTACGTGGTTTTAATCATAGCATCACTACTGGATTTCCAACTGCATGTTTTTGCTACTTCAAGTTTTTAACCTGTTCCCTCTAGCATTACATTGCCTAAAATACCTCTATCTAAAGCTTAGTAACACGCAAGTAAGAAGTTAACATACTACAAAAGACTTGGAGTAGATAAGAACCATGTTACATAGAAATACCTAACGATTGAACCTGATGCAGAACCCCCAACCTTGTATTATAAAAGGGAGGCTTCTCACACATTCAAATTTGCCCTAGCAAGAAGAGTTCTGCTCTAGGAAGGCCTAGGTCTCAGGGCTGACAACACTGTATAGACCATGAGCAGCATCACTTGCACTGGCTCCCTCCAGGCCAGCGCCTCCCTTTCACCCCCACCTTTCTTCGGCCTTGACAATGGGGAGGCAGGGAGGGAGATGACCACCTTTTATTTTATTGAAAGGCCATTTGGCAGAACAAGGTTTCATGCCCTTTTTTATTGAAACTTACCTGTAAATTCTCTGTTCGTGTCTCTTCAATGACCTGAGATGATGTGGGCCAAGTTAATACTCCAGGTACAATTTTACGATTAACCATTGTTTGCGATTTCATGAACTGATCGAGTGCATCTGAAAATCTAAAGTTTGAAACATACACATTCAGATTCTATATGAATAAATCTATATAAATGTCTACGTGGCCTGTAATACTTTTTATGATTCATTTTATGATTGAAGAAAAAAACCCAAAATGGTAAAAGTATGTGGAATGAAAGAGCACTTAGTTCAGTAAGTTATTTAAGGCCTCTTCAGGAGTCAAGCTGTGAGGCAGTAAGCCAGCCTGGGTACGGGGCCCAGAGTCCAGGCACGGATATGAGGCAGACCAACAGCCTGTGCTGACACTCAAGGGACTCATGAACACGGGTGTGCTTGTCAAAACTGAGTGTGAGCATATGCCTATGTTCACAAGTGACCTTCAACCCTCACAGCCTGGGAGGAAGCACAGGCCTCTGCTACCTATACTTATGTTTTCTGTGAATTCAGGTAGTGCTTTACTTGGGAACTGCACTGCCCAGGGTAGTCTGGGTGGCTAGCTGTGGTAGGCCTGCATATGTGTGTGCACAACTTTTTGGGACACAATTGCAAACTCATGATGGCTCAAAACTGCCAAAGGAAACAAAAGCCACAGTGGTGGGTCTGGGATGCAGATAATTCCAGGATCTCAGACTGCACATGGCTGTGCTGTGGCAGTGGGAAGAAGGAATCCCCCCTCAGCATCCAACACTCTCTGACCAAGTGCTTTTAGATATTCCACATGAAGAGGGTTCACAGTTTAATATCAAACTTATTTGATTTATTTGGCATTGTATAGGGCTTATGTGGCAAGGGTGGACAGAGGGACCAGTGCTGCAGGGACAACCTGTTAGGAGAGGGCAGGGCTGCCTCAGTTCCAGCTGACTCCAACAAACCCACCACAGGACACAGCCGAGCCACTCAGGCAAGATGGTGGCACCTCAGGGAAGGCGTGGGTATAAGAAAGGACAAAACATACTGCACAGCTACGAGGATTGATGAAAAAAGAGCAGGAACCAGCCCTTCAAGCACCAATGTAAGGAGGAAGGGCGGCAGGCTACCCCTGCAGCCCCTGGAGAGGACCTCGCTGGAGCAGGTACCCCACAGCAGCGGTGGAGGGCCGCTGGCCAGAGCAGGATGCGTCCCAAAGGGCCTGCAGGCCGTGGAGAGGCCCCGAGCTGCTGGGCAGCAGAGAGGAGCTGTAACAGACTGATCACAAGCCCCATTCCCCACCCCTCCAGGCAGCTTGGAGGGGGGAGGAGGTAAAGGAGTCTGGAATGAGGGAGTGAAGTCTAGTCTTAGTGGGATAAAGGGGGGGAGAGAAGAGGGAGGTAGGGGGAAGCTGATTTTCTTTTTTTTTTACTCTGTTTCTCACCATCCAACTCTATTTTAAGAGACACTAAATTATTTTCCCCAAGTTGTGTCTGTTTTGCCTATGACTGCAATTAGCAAGAGATCTCCCTGTCTTTATCTCAACCCTGAACTTTTCTGTCTTATTTTCTCTTCCCCTCCCACATCCCACCGAGGAGAGGAAGTGGGAGCGCAGCGGGATGAAGGTCTGGCAGCCCGCCACAGTCAACTCACCAGAGGCATTACAGGGGATTTTGATTCATCAGAGCAATACAGGGATACACTGAAATCACATGAGCACAGCAATTGCAACATGCAGTTGAATCAATACAAACGCGATTCCTGTTACCAGCCGCTCCACCCTTACCGTCAGAACACTGGGAAGAAACACCTCCAGGAATATGTGGGTTGGAGCCAGGTCAAGCCCTAAACTCTCAAGATTATTAGTTGTACAGGTTCTTCACTTCATGTGCAGCTGAGCCACAGATACACTCCCCCCCCCTCCGTTCCCATGCTCATCTGGCTCTCTCAGGAAGACATTTCTCTTTGTCTCAGGGAACCCAGTGACTCACTGGTGCAGCTGCCTTATCTAAAACCCAAGGCTACCTTCCAGTCTCCCTGGTGTTAAGATAAGTTAAGCTTCCTTTACAGTACATTTTTCCCTGAGATCATCATTTTTTAGCCTTCTCCTACGGACTCTCCTGAACTGCAGAGGTGTGCTGGTCGGTCATAGATCCATGCCCTGGAGTCTGCTTCCATTACATCCTTAGCAGTAACCAACTTAAAATTCTAATACATCAGTTCCATATATGAATTCAGTGATTGACAAAGAATAATTGAAAAATGCACACATTTCTCAAATGAAAATATTTTTTGCATGAAACACTGAAGCTTTATATTATACCAACCTGTTTTGTCTGAGGTATACTTTTCCAATTCCATAATATGCCAAACAACCAAATCTTTCTTCCTGGTACTGTTCAATTATTTTCTTAAACTCGTCTTCAGCCTTTGTCAATGACTTCAAAATAAAATTAAGACACTTAACTGTGACGCTTTGCCAGAAGCTTTTCACTTTTCTTCTCCTTTTTTAGCTCCAGTAGGAGTAGGTAAGTATGCCCTCATCTTTGATGAGTCTTAGGAGCAGTAAAGGGAATTAAACAACCTTACAATCACATACAAAGGCTTCCCTTTTTTTTTAAAAAAGAAACTTACTCTATAAATGTGGACGCCCTCCAACATCATGTAATAAAATGATTGAGCTAGAAACACCCAGACATTTAACTCATTCCAAGACACTGAATATTTTTAAACACTGCTGGAAAAAAGTGTAAACAAGCCCCCCAAAAAAACTCTGAATAACCCACACTTTTGGTGTTTTCCAGAACCAAAAGCATTCTTTCTCCCATTTTAGAAGCAGAATATTTGTGAAAGAATAGTGCATACCTACCTTATAACAAAGTAGAGGAAAAATAATTCACTGTACTTCATTAATACTTAAGAATCTCATTTGAAAGATTAACCTAACAATTTTTTTTTAAACGTGAAACCATTAAAGATCCAGTCCCAGAATTTAAACTATGATTCTAAACCGTGACAAAACCCCTTCCTTCCCCACTTATTTTATGCCTGCTAAGAGACAAAACAGTATGGCCAACTACCTGAACTACAATTTTGAATAAAAGCAATGTAGTGGCTTAATGTCATACCTCAGGTTGTCCAATTCCAAGGAGAGCAGTGGCATGTCCGTAGACAATTACAACATAATTAATAATATGAAGATTCAGTGGCTGCAAAAAGGGTAAAATTATAATCGTAGCAGGCACAAACACACTTTGCTGGTAACTAGAACACTACTGTCTACAGTGAATTGAATATCTTCACTACAACAGAGCTAGGAAACTCTTCTCAACGTTGTTATCATAGCCTCTACCCAGATTTGTGTCACAATTAACATAAAAAGTGACAGTTAACTACACCTTAACTGTTGGTCATTTGGCTTCCCTATACATCTCTAAGTGACACACCCTGAAACTTCTGCTATCAGAAGTGCTGTAGCTGCATGCCTTAGTACGTTGACTTCATGCAGTGCAGTGAGTCTTCGCTGTATTTCATGTTTAAAATTGAGCATGTTTTTTTCCCTTTTTTTTTTTAAAATAAAAATTCCTTTCCTTAACCTTTTTCCTCCTAAAAAACCAGATGTCAGTTCCAGATGAATTGGTGCAGTACTTGCCTGGACAGACCTGCTGGCACTGCAACAGCCCTTATTAAAATGGGAACTTGAAACGCAGCAAAACGTGCACGTACATTGTCATACAAAATGCTACAGTACAACAATTTAAAGAAATCTAGGACAACAAATGGGTCAGTGACTGATTGGCTAGATACATTTTTGGTAAATATTTTTTGTGGACTGCATCTAGAAACACACATGTAGGATGAACATTACAAAAATACATCCTATGGTACTATTGTCTGGGTTTTTTTATCCTGTTCTCTTTGTAAGTTCATTAACAGACTTATCAGTGATTGGCACTGTAATCAACATCACAGGCAACAATTCAATAATAATGACTATTTTGGTGGAAGGAAACAATGAAAGCATAAACTTAAATTCCTCCAATAAACTCTGTTATTCCTCTCAGCTTACCTTTAATTCTGCGGGATTTAGAATGCTTAACAACTGTGAAAAGGCTTGTTCAGCACTGTGACACCGCTGGTCCATCAAGGCTGTATAAGCGTCACGCACAAGGGATTTAACCTCTTCTGGCAACATAATTAAATCCACCTAGAATATTTAAGAGAACAGTAAGTCCAAAAAAAAAGTCTTTTTTTTAAAAAAAAGCAAGGAAGCTATTAGCTAAAATATGTATCAGACAACTGTTAAAATTCTGTACTTCCTACAGTTTTTACAATTTCACTCTTAAAGCAGCAAATCAGGTATATTTTTAGAAAGCTGTTTTAAATGGAACTTCTAAAACATTAAGATTTTTTCATGGACCTTTTGCTGCCAATCTCTTAAAAATCTAGTTTTTGTACTAAGTTTAGATCCTTTTCTCTCCAGAAAGTTTCAAGCTTAGTTCAGGCATCATTTTAATTCTTCTTACACTTAAAAAAAGCACCTCAGACATTCTTTTCCTCACTTGTACACTCCTTTTTGTGTACAAACGTTTTTCTTTCTCCCCATTCAGTTAATAGTTAAGGCTAGAAGGTTTCAGAGAGCATTGTGTTATTAGCCTATCACTACAGATACTTCCTGATGTCTGTGGGAATTTCCAGTAGTGATACTATAAATCAAGCCAAGCAGTTGCAAAATTAGGAGCTTTATTTCCTTGCTCTATTGAAACACTAAAAGAAAATTAGCTTTGGGAAGCAAATCATTGTACAAGGGTAGAAGTAATTTGACTATTTAAGAAGCTCCTTCAGCACTTACTCCTGCAATCCTAAGCATTAAAAAAAAAGTTACAAGAAAGCCCACCTGTGTATTTTAAGCCACCATCTCATTTCACTATTAATCTTCAGTAAGAAGTAACCCTACTTAACAAGCTTTTCGCTAACTGCTCCTTTTCTTTCCCTCCATAAAGTAATATTTGAGCCTGGTCTTAAAAGACCCTGGTGAAGGGTCTAAAGCACAAGTCTTATGAGGAGCGCCTGAGGGAACTGGGGCTGTTTAGCCTGGAGAAAAGGCGGCTCAGGGGAGACATTATCACCCTCTACAAGTGCCTCAAAGGAGGCTGAAGCAAGGTGGGGGTTGGTCTCTTCTCCCAAATAACAAGTGATAGGACAAGAGGAAACGGCCTCAAGTTGTGCCAGGGGATATTTAGGCTGGGTATTAGAAAAAATTTCTTCCCTGAAAGGGTTTCAATTTTTTTAACAATATTCTAACAGTGTACTTAATTGTCTTCCTGTGAACTAAATTAAGCTTTTGACATACTAAATTTAAAGCATGTATTGAATGTATTTTCCTAATACATTCAATCTTATTTTGTCTTCATCATGTCAACCAACCAAAAAGGACAACCATAAAAAAATACTGGTGATCTTATAAACAAAAGTGGAAGTGATAGTGGAAAGTATAAATAAAAAGACCAAGATACAGAAATGAGTTAATGAAAAAACGATTAAGACATTTTAACTTCCTAGAATTATTGATACAAATTAATGTTGTCAAAGCATAGTTATAGGACAGAATAAATTATATTATTTTAATGTTAAGCTCCATGACATTGGAAGTCCATGAATCTGACTGTCCATGAATCAGCTCCATGAAGCTGATTAAGCCAACTAAAAACATTACTTTCAATACTAGTCATGTGTTAGCCTTACAAAAACAGGTATTTTAAAGGAAATAAGGGTTCTTAATACAGGCAGAACCTGCACCTTCTGAATCCTTGTCTTATGGGGTAATTAACCAGAATGGAGATTTCTGTTGTCTTCCCCAAATTAACAGAGAGAAATTGATTATGTACAACCCCGCAATTTCATCCAAGACCTTAGGGATACTCATAATTCATTGCTGATAAGACCCTAGAAGAATTCTCAATTTATGGATTTCATAGAATATTAAACAGCCATTCAATACAGTGTTCTATGATTATTTCTAAAAGTATGTATCAAACACAGGAAAACATATTTAGTCGGAACATTGGGAGGGGTATTCTAAATCTCTGAATGATTCCCAGTAATTTTTGTTGTTTTTCTTACAAACTAAAATACAAGGGAGATATGTTATTTACTCATGGGTTTAATCAGTTACTGTATTACTACACTGAGTTTTGTTACACTAATTTCCAGTGTGAGGTGTTACAGGAAGGGACAGAAGAGAAGCAAAAAGAAGACCATCAGCCACAAGACAGTATAAATCAGTGTCATCACATAACCTTTGTGTCTTGATAAAACTCATGCCAAGCATGAAGTGTTACATTTTTAAATTAATCAAGATGTTGTACAGTGTTACTAAAAGGTGACAAATGATTTATGCTTAAGGCCATATGAGAAGGAATTCCCAGTTACCTGTTGCACATTACAGAAGAGTTTCTCTTGCATGGCTTTAGACTCTATCTTGAAGTCAAGGTGATCTCTACAAATAACAGGACAATGGCACCATGAGTTTGTACATGTACTTTATATGTAATCTTATTTGCAAGAAAGAAACGTCTGCTCTTTCATCAACCACATCACATTCACCTGTGTGCTAGAGATTATTATGGCACACGTTGACAACTGCAGTAATAACTGCTATAGCACTATCAAAGACTATGGTACTGTTGATGCAGTTCATATTCTTCTGGCTCAGGAATCACTAGGGCTTCAAGGAAGTAGCAGTCTTCTCCATCATTTTTCTTGTTTTCTTTTATCTTTTCCATCTTATTCCCAGCTGAGTTGATCTTACCAAGTGATGGGATAGGTGACCAGAAGCTCCCTAAAGGCAGCAGTATAAGAGGCTGTTTCAGCCTCCTTCCCCTTCTCTAGTCTTCCAAAGTACAACACCCTTTATTCTAGTACAACCATCACTTAAAATCAAACACGTGTAGCAGCTGCACATGGTGGGGGCCAGAACAGCAGAGGAGAGGACCAGAGCTGCTCTTCCCAGCTCTTCCTTTCCACTACTGTAGCAGAAAAGCCACACACAGCTAGAGAAGGAAGAAAGTGTAAGGAACAGGCAAAGTACTGCTTAATACTCTAAATGAAATGCTCAGTGCTAAGACTCCTAGTTAATGCTTAATGCTACTATACTGCTTTCTGCTAATGCACATACAGTGCTGTCCCACATTCAAGGGCATTGGACACTCATGTGAGATAAAGACTTTACTGTGTCACAGGATTCCTTAGATTTCTGGAAGCCAAGCAATCTGCTATTTGCAGAAACAGAGATGAGACAGCAACTGACCATGCACCTCACTTGTTGAGAAATAGTGTGGGTTTTATAAGTTTAATAAACTTCCCCATGGGAGAAGCTATTTTGTAGATGGTTCAGCTGAAGAGGATTTCTTCCCACAGTGAATTCTAACATTTTTCCCCTCCCATTTTAAATGAAAGGCTAAACGCATCAGTGGCAACCCAGTTAAATAACATAAATTACCTCTTCTGTGACAGTGTCTCAATTGTCCTAGCTACAGTGCTATTCAAAGAGTTATGTGAAAACAACAGGACTGTTCTGTGGTAAGTACAGATTAAAAGACAGTAGGTTTCGTGGTCATACACACTTAAGATTAGGACTTGGAATAATCTGGTTCAGCTCCCAGGTTTCCTAAGGGCTCAGATTCTTCTGCATGAGAAATCTGCCTCTAAAAATTATGACTTAATAGAAACTTTCCTGTTTCAATGTAAGCCACTTATTTTGCTGTACCCCTCACCTGTTTGTAATCACCCAAAACAAATAAAAAACACTAGCTGACGAAACATGCAAGAATGTACAGTCAAAGCTTAATTTGTCTAATTTCACAGATCAAGTTAAAACACTGAAAGCTTCCACCTCTGTGTGTGCTTAAGTAGTAAGTCATTATTTGCCTCAGTCACCTTACAAATAAGTCATCAATAACAGTTCTTTACTCCTCAACTATTAGATGAGGAAATACATTGGCATATGGAATCATCTATCAATGCAGTGCTTTCATTAAACCTGTTTGGAGGATGTATCACTATTGGCCTCAGTATCACTGGAAATCATTCTCTCTTCTGTTAAACTTTGTTTTAAAAGTTATAACAGATGGAAGTATAAATTTTGTCCATAAAATCTCTAATGCTTTTTATCTCAATTAATTTAACTCTGCCACCAAACCACTAAACATACCCATGTACATTCAGTATGTTTTATTGGGGAGTATTTGTGTACTTAAAATCAGACACTGATACACCTTAAGCAAAAAATCAAGTCTACAAAAAACTAAAGAACTCCTTAAGTAAAAGTTCTTTTCTAGTATTCAAACCTGAGACTGATATACAAGTCAAACTGTTGCTCACAGTCAAACTGTTTCTTCTAAGTAAGCATATGAACTGTCAGAGAAGTTTTAAAAATTATTTGGTAGAATAATGGAGTAGAACTAGTACAAAGAGGCCTTGAAAATAAGACAGACCTTGAGTGATGTTGTGGTGTTAAGTCTGAATGTAACAACTGGAACAAGATTCCTACTATCTTTGGCTATAAAGGAAGCAAATTTTTTCTTACAGCTACGCTGTGTGACTTGCTTTTGGGCAAGTTTTAAACAGAGGTTATTGAAATTATGCCTTCATTTACTAAAATTCATCTGAGCTTTGGGAAGTAGTTTTCAACAAATAACTCAGGCTCTTTGTGAAAACTGGAATTTTGTGAACTTTAGTCAGCTATCTCAACACGAACTGTATCCTTTAGAGTATGTGAACAATGTAAACAAAGCAAGCAGCAAGTCAAACTTGCTTTAAATCCTTTGTAACTGTACATAAAATAACTCAAAATAGTAATAAAATTAAAAATAAATAAAATTTCTTACCTTGTCTTTTCAGAGTCACCAGGTTTGAGTTTTGGCCTTCCTTTGTTTTGATGACTTTGGCCTGCAATGAGAAAAAGTATTTCAAACAAAATGATCATCACCTAAAACAAAGAGGTTGAAGAGGAAGGACTGGAACTCTCTTTTTGCCTTACAAATAGAGCATAAATTTTTCTTTTAAAAAAGTGTTTTAATTCCGAGTGTTACAGTATGAATTTGATATTTTTTTAATTAATAGAGGATTTCATTAATCCTATAAAGGGAAAAAGATCTTTCAAATAAACAGAAGAATCCTAAGATTCTGCAAGACATCATCTGATAATACCAGATTGTATCAACTACTAAAGTTAACTCCAAGATAAAGATATCAGTACGTTATATGAAATCACAGCTGACAACTACAATTTTTAAAGGGAATAACAGTTCACTACGGATGTTCAATTTTTACTACAAAGTTTTACTCAAAGAAACTACCGCTTCACAAATACATTGCCAAAGGAGTTAAGTTCAACCCCCATTAATCTTAGAAACATAAATCTATGAGTTGGATCAAGATAAAGGTCCCCGATTACAAAATAAACCTGACAATGTAGAAATACTGCAGCCCAAAGACAAGAAAGAATCTGTCATGTGATACTGTTTATTTTATATTTCTGAAACAATGTCAAAGACTGAAAACTTTGTTAATGCACTTTACAACTTCAGAGATCTCACACTGTTGATTAGTTACAGTGCTCTACAAGCTGAATAAACAATTCATTAGTAACAAGGAAGTAGAAAATATGTTCTAAAACTTTATCGTGACTGCTCAAATCCAGAAAGACATGCCATTAACTGCAAAATCACCTCTCAGCCATTTTCTGTGGAATTAAAACATAATATTAAGTGTCTGATTGTGCACATGCATACTCAATCGTGATTAACTCAAGAAGTTCTTAACTTTCAAAAATTTTAAGTTCGAACTTTACAAGGCATTACTGACTCAACAGCAACAGTGATAAAATCCACTTGTGGGAGACCTGCCTTCTAGTAACCAAACAGTTAGACAAACAAGTCAAAAAGTAGTATTTCAGGACTGGTGAGGAACCAGCCAGTAGCTAATTCAGTTACAGAACTGTTGGGTGTCACATGTTGGAGGTGCTCCCTCTTACCCGTGGTAAGCTGACAGGGGTGCAGAGCAGCAGATTTTTCTCCTAGTTAGATCTAATGGATTTTACAAGGCACATGGGAATGCCACCTCCTGCCTCAGCTACCTGGTCCAAGAGGGGGGCAGTTCCAGCTATCACCTTTCAGAAGCAGTTTAGGAGGCAAACGTGGCTTGCTAATGTTGGATAGAATCACAGAGAGTCCAGCATCTGGATTCAAGGGATTCAAGCACTGGAGCCTAAAGGTAAGGTACACCTACATAAATCATTAAATATTGCTTGATTTATTAGTACACTTATGCTGAACTACCATAAAATCACATATGAAAAAATGAGTCCATAATTTTATATATAAAGCTTCAGTAACTATCTATGCTTTAAAATATTTAATTCATGATACTTTGAGAAGTATTATATAACCAGACACAAAAATACTGAAAGACACTGGAAAAACATCTAACTACCTATCCGAGTAATCTCACAAGCCAGTGGCATGTTGTCTCACGTACTAATTTCTCAATCTAAATCATATGCATTATGTACTTCATGCCTTGTGCCAGGAAAGTAATTTTTCATTAAAAAATAGTCATATAAAATTTAATCAGAACAAAAATCAAGTGTCACAAAGACTAAGTTATTTCATGAACCATTTCTTGAAATTGTCACACAGGAGTCTGAATAGGTGTTAAAACAGTTCATAAGCATTAAAAACTCCAAAGCTACACTAATAATCATCAAAAAATCATCATAATAGAGACATTTAAACGATAGAAAACAATCCTTTTGAAAGACAGAAAATACTTCAAGTATATCACCATTTAACCAATTAGAGATTGAGACTACCCAACTTTAAAAGCCATTCAACAAAAATAATTTCTGGAAAATTTCCTACAGAAACAACTACTACTCCCATATAACGCCCAACTGAAAATGATACTTTCCGATTTTTAAAAATACTTTTAAATAACATTAACAAGCACATCTTGATGAATTAGTTAAAATATTTAAGGAAATACATTAGTTCAACAGCAAACATGATTCACTTACCCCACAAACATTTTAAAATATTAGTAAAAGTAGTATCACTTTTGTTAGACATTCCTATCAAGAGTAAGCAAATATATTTAACACAAATGCACACATTCTCAAAAAAATAGCACATGCAGACAAAAACTGAAATTAAAAAAGACAGTAACTTTAAGATAAGATACAGTGGCATAAAGTTCCTTCACATTAAACCTCCTGCAAGTCTGAAGCCTTTAAGTGAACAAAGGCTGTGAAAACGAAAGCTACTCTTCCCCACCCACACTGACCCTGTGCCAGCTAGCCATTCAGAGCAGAACTCCCTTCCAAATCCAACACCACGTTCTACATCAGTACTGACACAGTAACTGAGGGGCAGAGGAGGAGGAACAGACAAAAAATACCCATGGAATCAGCACAGGCTTTTTGATGTTACTACATTCAACATCTCACAGTCCTACTGCTGTCCCAAAACTATGTTCTTTACCTGGTCTGCAAAAGCCAGGGTCGATATATTTGCTTTTATTCCAGTTCCATGCAGAAAAGGGGTGCCAGGCGATAATTTGCAAAAGGACTACACCTTTGAGACATAAGCCGGGTTTTGTGTGTCAAACAGTAACAAAAAAGAAACTACAGGAAGGAAAATGATTTGTCAGTCAATTTGTCACTCCTAACTTTACATTTTAAGACAGTAATTTACTACTCCCTCATCTCGAGGCTCCTGCTATCTTTTGGGACCACTCAGGTGTGATGCCGTTTACTTCGGGTGTGAAGTCTGGAACCTTTGTTAACCTTTTTCCTTTTGACAATAGCTTGTGTGTGTCTGAGAGGTGGGGCATTCACATTTTAATTAGCTATAGAAAGGTGACCATTCCACCAATTCTTACGTTATTTCTTCCAAGACACCGCCTCCTTTTTAGCTTAATGTCCCATTATCACCCCTTATGGCCTTATCTTGCAAAACAACTCTTTGTCAATCTTTCAACACTACAGTCTCTTTAGCCTAGAAGAATTTTTCGTGCTCTCCCAAATTCAGCTCATCATTATCTTTCTTCCATCCTCAACCTTTCTAAAAATCAGCTAGCCTTCTGACACCTCGCTGCTTTACCAACATCAGCAGCTTAGACAAACTGCTGACCACTTATATGATGGCCCGGAGCAAACAACTCAGAAAAATTGAAAAGCACGTGGCTGGAACTCGGAGCAGAGGGCTGGATGGACGACTACATGACATACAGCCTGAAGATTATGTATATGTTAAGTCTCTTGCAGAAAAAAACTCTGCAATCACAGTGGGAAGGACCATTACAGGTGCTTCTCGCCACTTTCACCGCAATTAAGATCAAGGAACAAAGCACTTGGATCCACCACACTCCAGTAAAGAAGGCTCCAGAGGTCCCTTGGAAAATAACACCGGGTGATAATGAACTGAAACTAAAGCTCACTCGAGCAAAATGAGTATACTGCCTTCAAGAATGTTTAGTAATTTAGGTTACAGAAATTTAACCAAGAAAATTGCTTTGCTCCCAATAGTCATGGGAACTTGGGGATGTGCAGCTTGGGAGAGTAATCAATACATTTGATTAATGAATACTATGTCTACGGCTTGGAGCCTTTCTGAATGTTGGATATGTACTCATTTGCCAAAAACCATGATTGAGGAAATTCCCTTGATTGGGATACTGTTACCATCAAATGAAACAGGGAATCCTTTCACTATAAGTCACTGGTGGGCAAATATTTCATTTTCAGGTCAGGAAATATCAGAAATGACATTTAAAGTCCATGTCCCCAAACTGCCCAGTAATGAGTCATTTTTGTTATGCTTTAGAAGATGTAAAAAGGAATATGACATTCGATATTCAAATTCCATATATGTAGGGACCCTGTCCTGGTGTAACAGAACTATAATGATAGGAATTCAGAACCTATTCAATATGACATCATGGCCAGTACCACAAGTAAAGGGATGGTTTTGGATATGTGGTACAACAGCTAGAAAGAGCCCTCCCTCAGATTGGAGAGGAACATGTACTCTAGGGGCAGCAACCCCCGATATAACCATCTTAAGATAGAAAACATCCCCTAAGAGGATGGGTCCAAACATTTATAAAAACCAAACAAAATACTGATAATCCATTAACTACCCATCCATCTGCTTTCCACAGCTTTGTTAGATAGCTTTTTCTTCCATTTGGAGTGAGTAAACTAGAAAAAGCAATTGTAAATATATCTGCAACTATAGAAATAATAGAAAACGGGACCATGGATGCAGTAAGAGCCCTCCAAGAAGAACTCTCTTCTTTATCTCAAGTTGTTATGCAAAATCAAATAGCTTTAGATATGATACTAGCCTCATAAGGGCAGTCTGTAGTATAATTAACTCTAGTTGTGGCATATATGTGGACCAAAGCCAGCGCATCCTTACAGATCTGCACAATATATGGAAACAGACTCAGACACTCCATGCTATCACCCTTGATGACACCTCATGTGCTTTTCAGGAACAGGGGGATAAACTTACCTCTTGGCTCCCAAACTTGGCCTGCTTAAAGTAGCTTTTTATATTTTGTTAGCCTTAGGTGTGTTAGTATTAATGACATATTTATTAACCCAATGTTTCTTTCACTGCTGTAAAAAGAATTTAACCAATTACGAAGCTTGGAAGAAATACCAATTTACATAGAAAAGTAGATAGTGGAAAATACTTCAAAAACCCCCTTGAAAAAAATGAATAATTTAGTAAAAGAATTTACTAATTTTCTAGAAAATGGGGGACTGAGACAAGGAATTAGAGGTTAGGAACGTTTAATTGAGGGTAACTGTTTAGACATCATGTATTTTACTCAGCCTTTCCTGTGCCTGCGAAGGCAGGGTGCACTGCTCCCCAGCTGCGCCAGCTGCACCCCTCATCACGTACCGGCTGCTAAGCCATTGCGGTAAGGAAGGAACTGCCTGTCAGAGCAGGACAAGAGAGTGTAAGACTTGCAAGGTCACTGAGACAAGGAGGACTGCTCGGACCCCTAATTCCAGCCAAAACCAAGAGTCCAGAGAGAGTGCACAAGAAGGCGAGGTGAAAAGCTTAACTCCGAGGAAGACTTGTTTACTTCATCTTGACAACCACCGGAGAGCACTGCGCAAGGAGGACTGATAAGCGAATTATAACACGAAGCGAGGGTGGGTGGGGGTAGCCAATGAACATATACAGGTGTACTGTGAAACTTAATGCACATGTAAGACTTTAGAGAATAAGGAGAAGGACAGGTGATGCAGAGGGCGGCATGTCTTTGTGGAGAGACCCCGCGTGCGCCTGGCGCTGGATAAACACACACCTACTTTACCGCTTCAGGGGCTTGTGGAGCTTTTCTGCACATCACGGACACCGAGTGTCCCTGGCGGTGCCCTGGAGCCTCGGCATCCATGCAGTCCTGTGCTTGCTGCTGGTGACTGAGGAGGTCACCATATGGGCATGCTGACTTTTTCCACTGCCTCAATAAAGCCTTATTTACAAGGTGTCATTAGACTCCGTTACTAGTCACACCACACCTTCTCGCTCATGAAGTTGTCTGGATTCACTCTGTTGACACTTGCTTAAAACTCATTCAAAATTTCCTATGGCCTCCGTGCATCTCAGATTGAGATGGTGGAAAGGAGCAAAGTATAGTTCCTGAAAATGGAGTTGTCTTCCAGAGCTTGACTTCCTCTTTCTAAAACCCTCCACCCTTCTTTATGCCTTCTGCATTAAGTTCCTTCAACACTTCATAGGGGTTGGGTTTTTTTTTTTTTCCATTTATTCTCCCACCACATAACATCTAACAAATTCACCTTGATCCTTCTTTTGCCGTTTCCCACATTTTCCACCTCCCAATAAATCTTTTAATTTTTTCAAGATGCTAGCATATGCCCGAAGTCCACAAGAGTAAGATCACTTCTACTGCTCATTTAAAAATAATATTTTATCATATATCTTCACTGGTTTCCTAAAATCAAATCTTCAAGTACTTAGCACTTTGGCACCTGTTTGGCTAACTGTTTGTCTATGTGGAGTCCCAAGAACAGCAGAGCTGGGCACCAGTGACTTCAGACTGGTATATGGTCAGGACTAGAAGGACTCACTGCCCTGGAGGTCACAACTTGAGAGTATGGCATGAGCATGCAACTGTAGGATTATTCCATGCAAACATTATACTTTTTTTTAAATTTGCACATCACGGAAATATCTTATGCTTTCTTTGTTACAGCAGGTTTAGTGGGTGATAAAAAAAAAAACAACCACCAAAACATAACAAACAAGCAAGCATGCAAAATTCATGAAAAGATTTCACTCTGAAGATCAGAACTGCTTGCACTTCACTATGAACAAGAAATCACAGTAGCTTATACTTCTTAACGCTTCTCACTAAAAATCCACTCTGACAAACATTTTGTGGTCTCCATCCTCTCTAACTGCAGGATTATTTGCTTAAGGATCTATATGGAGCTTTTCATTATTCATAGTTCTTCTGTGATTACTAATCTACCCATACACTTCTCTTAAATTTAGATCCTTTTAGATCCCATACCTGTCTCAAAAGGAAAGAAAGCATTTCTAGCCTGTGACTCAGGAGTCTTGCTTTTTAATTCCAGTGTCATTTCTGAATTCATCCCTGTAAAGTAGAGTCAAACTACAAAAGCAGGAAGGAAAGAAGACTGAAATACAGGAGAGAATTATCTAAGTAACTGCATGCTAACAGGAAAAGAAATGAAACATGGTAGCTTACTGTTGTGAAAAATAACAGATACACATTTGCTTATTAATAACAACAACAGCAAGGAAAGAATCGACTCGGACTTCAGAAATAGCAAAACCAAACTCACTTGGTCGGAGCTCCAGAGAGGAACCTTTGCTTTCTGTTCTTTGGATGTCAGCCACCTAACAACAAATAGGTTAGTTTCATTTTACCCAGATTTAAAAAAAAAACACAAACAAAACACAAACAAAAACCAAACCACACAAAAACACACACCACCCCAGAAATAACCACACACTCAAAAACCCAAACAAGAACAAATTACTCACTAAACTTTAACAAAGAAATATCTAAAATACTAACATTGAAACAAAGAAATCACAATGATAATACAGTCTATTATGTCCCCAACCAGGAGGTAAAGAAAAATTTCATTAATAAAAGGGTATTTGTACACTTACACTTTCCCCCCTAAATCCTTATCAATTTATATCATCTACTAGTCTGACAAATACTAACCTTTTCATAGTAATATTTGTCCTAAAGAATAATGAATTTACAGACCTACATTATGAAGATACATAGCATAAAAGCAGATGAAAGTAAAAGAAAATCTTTAACGTACTTCTTGAGCATTCTACAGACGGCTTTTTTCAACAAGTTTCAACTTTTATTTCCTTCCCGTTGCCCTTGTACATTAGTTTCAGTTTCCCCACTAATGAGTCATTTTTTTTGCTGCCCCACCCGCCTGTGAAACCCAAAAGTTTTTTTTCTACATGTGTGTACTAAACTGTTTTGACCTTGCTAATAGAGTCACACTATAGAAAACATCCACTTTTCTGTATTATGTAGCTTATTTATAACATACTTTACAGGCTAAATAACTCCAGTTAGAATATATATTTATTATCTTACAATAATGATAATAAAGATGATCAGAAAGAGATACAATTTCTTTAAATAGGTAATTAGTGTGAAAGAGAGGAATTGTCTGCATGTAAACTGGAGGCTGACTATTGAATTTTTTCATTCTGTGCTGTCACAGTAGGCCTCTCAGCCTGCATGCACCCAGCAAAGTCAACCACTCAAGAAAATTTCTGTGCAGAAATGCTCTACAGGCTTCCCATAATACTGGCTACCAGATAGGCACAAAGACAGCAGCAGCTGGGAAATTCCATTGACATCCAGCTCCGAAACACACCTAAAATAAGGAAAGCACCAACAAAATCCCTCAACTTCCTTTTTTTTTTTTTTTAGCACGTGTTAATTTTTTTAAAAAATAAAAACATATGTGCTGGTTTTGGCTGGGAAAGTCAGCTTTCCTCATAGCAGCTCATATGGGGCTGCGTTTTGGACTTGTGATTGGAACAGTGTTGATAAGTCAGGGATGTTTTAGCTGTTGCCGAGCAGTGTTTGCACAGCATCAAGGCCTTTTCTGGTTCACAGGCTGCCCCACCAGCAAGTAGGCTGGGGGTGACACAACCAGCAGAACTGACACCAGCTGACCAAAGCGATTTTCCCATGCCACGTGATGTCGTGCAGCCGGGGGAAGAAGGGGGAAAGTTCTGAGTTATGGCATCTGTCTTTCCAAGTAACCTTACACATGATGAAGCTCCGCTTTCCTGAAAATGGCTGAACATCTGCCCAGAAACAGTGAATCAATTCTTCATTTTGCTTTGTCTGTTTAAATGTCTTTATCTCAACCTATGACTTTTGCCACTTTTATATTTAGTATTTTCTCCTCCAGCATGCTGAGGGGAATAAGCAAGCAGCTGCATGGGGCTGAGCCGACTACTCAGGTTAAACAGTGACAAGGTTAAACCACTGCACTTCCAACAGTAAAACAGCCTTCTAAAAGGCAGAATTAGAGGCTTTGATTGGGGGATTTCCTTGGTCATGCCTCACTAACATCTATCCTTTTTCAGGAACAAAAATCAACTATGAACAGAGAACATTTACATTATTAAGCTTCTGCCAGTGATGCACTCAACTCCTTGACCAAACTAGTGGTAGTTTGGTTCAAAGTTCTAAAGGAAGTAAAAGCCTAGGCTGTGACCAGGCCATGAATTTTTAATTCACCTTCTTTTTGAAAATCAATAGAAGGACAGGCTGATGTGGTGAGCCTGGATACTGGAACACCAATCATCCAGTTAACACATAAATAGCAAATGGCTCTTAAAAATTCATTTGGTCAAGGAACAAAGTTAGTTGTGGGTACAAGGAATCTCATGCCTACCTTTTCCATTGTATATGATTTGACTATGAGTCAACCATTGTATTCCATAACTCTAAGAGCCTGAATGAGTTTATTTTTTGAGCTCTCTCCCCCTCTTAAACATCTGGCAGCATGGCGATGATCTCCCCTTGAGCTGGGACTCCTCTCTAGGTTACTCCCCCAGGTTGAGAGACCCCTTACCAGCTGCAGATCTTTAGTAAATGAGCAATATCATACACAACCTTGTATAACAGGGCATTAAGATCTTGCATCGGTAACTTTGAAACATTATTATATCCTCTGTGCAGTCAAGTAACAGATTGAACCTTGCCATAGCACTTGGTTAAGCCCCACTTTTCCAACAACTTACTTCAATAGAACTGCTTTTGCTGCTACCTTTGGCAGTGGTTCTCTAAGCAGTTTAAATCTTCCCCGCAACAGCCTCACTTCCTCTTTTAATCCTTCCTCACCAAAAAAGTTAAAAACAATCTAGCAGAATATTTGCACTTATACACGGCCTTTTAAATAGAAAGAATTTATCTAAACAGTGACAAAGGGCTACTAAAATTACACAAGCCCATCTTGCCTTTTAGCACTATACTACACTTGCTTTAAACACACAAGCCAAATAGGTATTTAAGAACCTTAAAATCCTAGGTTTAAATACAATCCAGTTAAGCATATTATTTAACTAATGTTCTTCCTATAGAAATTTGTTTACAGAGCATGAAAACCGCGGTCTATGACCATGCAAATACCTTAACATCACAATACCAGTGCAAAACAATGCTCCAGTATAGCAAAAGCCCTGTATATGAATTAACTTTGGCTAAAGCATCTCCCACTGAACTCCACTACACCAGTATGTAATAACTTAAATCCTCTCCTAAAGCCAAAGGGAAGCCACATCTCAATGCACATGGACAGGCACAACCAGACAGCCAATTAAATGAGATGTGAATTCAGTCTCACTATCAATAAACCCAAAGAGACCCTCTCCTCCTCCAGCCTCCATCTTCTCATTCAAGCAACCACCTACCACCTCCTTTCAAATCCAAAGCTCTGAACACAGACCTGGTAGTTAAATATTACAGGAAAATTCTCACCTGAACAAGAAATACACAATTATTAAGACACAGTGGCTGCAAAATTTCATCCACACCATTAAAAACACACATTCCAGGACACTTTTAGTCTTGCAATGTCAGCTGCAGTGTAACTTACCATGGTATCACGTTTTTGATGACAGTGATGATCTCTAGGATCAGACTGTGTTGTCTTTCTGTCTTTTTCTATATCTTTTTGTTCTTGAGAAATTGTTAACTGGGATTCTGAAGAACTGCAGTCTCTGATATGTAAAAAGAGAGAACTCTAGTTCTTCCAATGTCGGTGTCTTTTCCCCGTATTTATACATTTATCATGGAAAAAATAAAGACGAATACAAGAATTCTACCGCTCATAGAAGGGTAATGCCATAAGCACATTTAAAGGATTTGATTAAGCAGCCATTTTTTCTGGTTTCAAATTCCACAGTTCAAAGCTATGCAAAAATATTACCAAAAAGCACCATTTTTTATAAAAGAGAGAGAAACTGAATTACTGCACTTTTAAAAAAAAGGTAATTATTTTTTTAAAATAAGTCTTGCCCAAGGCCACATTTTATTTGTGCAATATACATGGGAAATATATTTAAGTTCCTCCAGAATTTTCAAGTTTATAAAAATTTGTTTAGTAATTTACTTGCTGTACTGTTCTTGAATGACACATAGCACAACACTACAAGTAGACCAATAACAACCAAAAAATATTTCAGAAAAATGTTTAATATACAAGATAAAATATATGCCATAAGTTAGCTGAATCTGTGAATAAAGGATCTCTCTTACACTCTCTATGCAAGGCAAACGCACAGAATAGATGTGTCAAAACCAAGTTCCTATAAATCAGGATACACATTCATTTTTGCCATTGCCAAAATGCATTTGCTAGCATTCGCTTCCTCAGATCAGCTTGATCTCCTAGCAAACTTTATACAGCAAAGTTAAGACAAAAAAGTGGGTGTGATCACATTGACATTTGCAGGCACCAAATTTCCTCAAAGTACTTCAAGTTGGGAGGAGAAAAACCATTGAAGTGTAACTGTCTCCTATTGTTTCCAACAGGGCAAAACTTGATGCTGAAGGAAACCACTTGGGAGCGGAACACATCTCAAGATAGGTTATTTAGTTCCTAAAAGTCCTCCTTTTTCCTAGACTGCACTTTGGTTGCAATTCTGATAAGTTATTCCCTCCATTTTTACTTACCAGTAGATAACAAAACCTAAGCAGTATCTATGCCATGTTTTACTTCAATCTTATACTAAGATCAAGAAAAGAAAAGCAGACTTGACAGTTGCTTACTTTTTCTCAGGAAGTGGCTTCTTTGGTTTCTGTTTCTGTTGTTTAACACCTATAAAATAAATATAAAAAAAAAGCAATTAGCTAGTTTCAAGGGAAGGTTGCCAATGAAAGAATTTTGCTGTGTTCAAGGCAGATCTTGAAATCAGCAAAGGTTACCATTCATTTCTTCTAATGTCTTCTTTAACGTGTCACTTTGTTGAATAAGATCCTTAAGTCCACCAAGAACATTCTTGCATAGCTCCTGAGCTCTTTCATTAGCTTCCAAAGCCAGTTGGTGTTCCCCCAGTAATGACAGTGCCTTACTGAAGTGGTAGTGACCCTGTGTGGACATAAGTTTGAACTTCAAGCATTCATTCTTGCAAATAAGTAAAAAAAATTTTATCCAAAACAGCTGCAGTAGACAATACAAAGCAAAAATTTTGCATACTCAAAAGTTATCCACTCCACCTATTTCAGATCAAATGATGAATAATCAAAGTTTTCAGCACACTGAAACAAAGATAATTTAATTCACTGGTAATAACATCCAGCCTCTGGCTTTGGAAAAGAACACATCTGCTTTCCCCTTAGTCTCTACTACTACTTTGCAATTTTGTAAATTTCATAACCCAAGAATATTGGGAAATACATGATAGTCAATCAGGATTTTTCTTTTTAGTTTTAAGGACTACATATTTTTTGAAGCACTGTGATAATGGAGCTACACGTAATGTAACATGTTTTCTTCTGTCTTTACACACACAGAACACCATGTAACACTTACAAGCATGTTAAAAATAGTAATTTTATATTAAAAATACAAGCAAATTATGTACTTGGTTTACTGAAGCAGAATTCTTAGTCCACAAGGTACCATATTCATTCTATTGGTCTCATCTGCATTTAGAGTGACGGACATTTCACATCTATCTGGGTCAAACCTGTAATTAAGACTCTGGGTTCTTATGCCAGTTTGCAGTACCAACAAAAGATGATTTTGAAATGTATACGAAACTAACCTTTGGCCAATTAGGCTTCAAAACAGTGGCTCTTTTTCCATCAACAAGGGCTCTCCTTAGAGAAGGGAGGGGAAAAGAAGAGGCATTAATTATTTGTACTACAGAAAAAAAAAAATCCACAGATGAGAGGTACAAGGCACTAACACAAAGTGAATGAAAGAACAGTTTATTCACCTGTGTAAAGGTAGGTGCGACAACACTTCCTAATGGAAACTTAGAGTTAAAATGTTAGAGTCTCACCTATTTTACCCATCAGATACTTAGTTTCTCCCCTTATCTACTAGGTTTTTCCAGTATTTCTGCATAGGTACCTACCCCTTAATTGGATTCTAACAGCATGCTCCTTTAAAAAGCACAGCCTTTATAAAAAAAGCCGAGTATCAAACCTAAATACTTTGACAGAAATAATGTCAGAGAGCAGTTACATAATCATAGTAGAGCTCTGAGGGTGCAAGTATGGCAGTTGCACACACCCTGATGAAGAAAGATCATCCAGACACAAAATTTGCCAACTCTGGTGAAAACAAAAACATCTGCTGACTCGCTTTTTCTGGAAAACAACTGCTAACTCAGGTAACCACAACTTCTGCTAATTTTGGTCACACCAAGATTACAGAACTATCATTACACCCACATCTTGGTTGAAATCTAAGACCCTCAGCCAGTGAAGACCAACATGATCGTATTTTTGACCACAGATCACACTTGACTAGGTGAGAAATGGGGTCCCTGCCAAAGGACAAATTGAGTCTCTCCTCCTTGAAGCAATGAGATAAATGATTTTTAAATGATAAATGATTTTTTATTAGAATAAATTTGTTTTGAACTTATGACCTTGTTAAGTTAATTTTGTGAGCTCCCCAACAGCAAGGGTTAATGACTGCACACCAAGACAGTAACCTCCAAAACTCCCAACAATGGAAGCATGAAGAACATGCCTGACACTGACTTTTTATATACGGTGTCATAAAATAACTGTAATTAAGGTTCTGGTCAGATCAGATGAGAAGCAGACTATTCCTACAGCTACAGGAGAGGACACAAAGTAGCAGTAATGGTCTCTGCTGATACCAACTCTGCCCAAAGCAGGCAGTTACAGGGTTTCTGTACCTTCAGGATGTAGCACTCATCCTTCACTGAACTACAGCTGTGTCAGATAAGCAGGATGTAGTAAATCACAAAGAGCAGTCACATATGGATTACTTCACATGAGGAAGCTTACAAATAACCCCACTCCTTTGATAGCTGAGTCATACTGACTCAGCAAGGCATTCAAAAACCATCTGCAGCAAGAACTAACTTGAGACACCTGGAAAGGCCTACAAAGCATTAATTATTTTACCTCCAGAAAGGGAAATATGGAACAAGATTCATTTCACATGAAAGCATTCAGAAACAGCCTAGATGCTACCACCACACAGGGATGCTTGCACACAGGGATCTGAAGGAGGAGAATGAAAGGCTGTATGGTCATGAAAGCTGGATACTAAAGAAACTTGAAAGAGATAATTTCAAAACAAAAAGTTGTGGAAAACAATTCTTCAGAGATTTCAGGAAGAATTAACTCTGTGAAATGAAAGTGAGTTAAAACAAATTACACCCTCTCAAGCTAGAGAAACCCAAGGTAGTAATGGCAGAATTTAGGGGTGCTGAAGCACATTTTTAAATATTAGTAAAAAAAAAAAAAAAAAGAAAAACACATAAAAGACAAACAGAACTAGTGATTGAAGTGGGAGAAATCACACTGCATTCATATGCCAAGGGAACCAAACATTAAGAAAAAAAAAAAATGCCTGACTAAAAGACAAATAGTGGGGTACAGAACCCCAAGGTACTAAGAGATTATAAAAGCAGCTGAAAAGAGCAGAAAAAAATCTGAAGCGTTTGTCTTGTTCTCGAGTATGTGCTGTTATGCTTTGTTTTCACCCACCCAGCTCTTCCTCCAGTGCCACCTTTCGGCAGGCTGGTGCAGGGATAGGGAAGTTGCCCCTGCCACTCCCAAATCATCCACAACAGCACAAGAGGAGGCTGAGCTGCAGTCAAAGGTCCTGTCTAGGTTCTACTTTTGTGTATCTTTGGGTGGTGCAACCATAGACTTAGCTGGAATAACTCCTTGTTACTGCTCTTTCCACAGAATGAGGTATTTCTGACTCCCAAAATTATGTCCTGTAAACAAACACAGGCCTGATATGACAGCAAAGGCTTTAAGAAATAAAGAAACAGGATACAACAAAAGGAGTACAGGCAGGAGATAACAAGAGATGGCACTGGAGACCTCATGGCTATAAACGACTCAACAATAGTCAATTAAAGACAAAGCAGACTTGGATCTGGACAAATACTACATTAGGAGTAAGAATCAGTATCTAACACATGTAAAAGGCCCTATATATGGTAAACACAGATGTAACAGGGTGCTGCAGACCAACAAAGACAGAGTAAAGATGTAACTGCACGTTAGTAAACATAAAAGTGACCCCAAGTGGATCCTACAGTGAGGAAAAAGGAACCATTGGCATGAACATGACATTCCTCCCAGGGAAAGACTCTGCACACTGACAGCTCTCTAATCCTACTACTACAGCAATAAAACTGCCAACTTTAGTACCCAGAGAAGCAGTGGAAGGGTGTGCCTAGCACCAGGGAAATGGGCAGAAACTAAGAATCGTGTGAATATAAAATTTAACTACGTTGTTATTTTTCTTTATTTCAACAGTTAGATCTGGACTAATAATAATTAGCTCCTTAAGATTTCAATTATCCTAACAATAAATTCTTTAGTAGGCTTTACATAAAAGGTATACAACCACCTTGCTCATAAGTTTTCAGCTTAACTACTGGCTTAAGGAAAATAACCCCCACACCCACACTGATCTCTTCTTCAAGAGGTTTAATAAAAATCACAATACTCACAGGTACTGAGTTGGTTTGGATTTTTTTGGTTTGTGGGTTCAGGGTTTTTGGTTTTTTGGGTTTTTTTGGGGGTTGGTTTGTTTTTTTCCTTTTTTTTTTTTTTTTTCCTCTTGTCTGTTGTATAACACACACACCCCCATCTTAGCGGTATTACATACTGCCAGCAGATACAGCTAATATTAATTTTTCTTAGTATCAGTTTTCTAAGCTTTTATTATGAGTATATTACTATGCACATCAATTTAAAAAAATACTATTTTCCCAAGTATATAGCTGATTTTTAGCTGCAGATTACCACAACATTTCAGATTATAAACAAGGGGTTACTTACTTGTACTGCCTTGTTAGAATTAAACAAATAGCTCGGTTTCCATAGAGAAGATGGTTTGCAGGACTTAAAAAAAAGAAACAAACAAACAAATTAAAAGTTAGTGAGGCATATTACTTTTCAAAATTTTAAGGAGAAGGAAGTTTTCACAATATTTATCTACAAGCACTCTAGCATCAATTATATGCAAACTTCCCTGAGTAGTCTATACTATAAATTTACAAGTTCCTGAGAATATTAGCTTTAATTATGTAATAATTTGTATGATTTGGGCCCACTAACACAACTTCCAGTCAAGTCACGCTCTGCTGCGCACAAAAAGAAAAAATTAAGCTCCTTCAACCAGCTCACTAGGTTCTGACATATCCAATATCAAAGCACACCTCAAATGGTCCAAAGGTATAGCTAGCATATGGCTAGTAAGCTTCCTACAACCTCAGCTTTGTTTCCAAGAGGGGAAAAAAGCAAAAAAGGCACAAAGCATCGAAAAGCTCAACTGCCTGACGTGGCAGATCAGCTAGTTCTAAAGAGCTAAAGCACTGCTCCCAACATACATATTGGAGAAGGACTGGGGGGAACCAATAAATGTAATCCAGCAAGCACCTGGAGGGAAGCCAAAGAGATGATGCAGTTAGCTGTGGAAGGAGCATGGTGAAGCAGATGAAAGTCAGCTCCCGCCGAGAGAATGAAAGGGAAGACAGTGCACACACCAGAGGAAGGAGGATTCCCTAGCTGCTAGCCATCACTGAACTATCCTCCACCTTCCAGCAGGGTCTTAAGGGCAAAGAACAACTTCTAACAAATAGCTGTAACAACAGCTCAGATCTCCAGCCCCTGGGGACCATGAGACCTCCTTTGCTCTTCCCAAGCCATGGCATTTCCTTTGCTCTTTCACTGAATTCTGCTCCTCCCTCCCCCTTATTAGCTACCCTGAGAAAAGCCTTCTTAGCCTGCACCATCATCTCAGATACAGTCACAGCCTAGTCAACTTCTGAAGGAGGCTGAAATCAACTTGAATCTGGGATTGAAACGTACCCTACCATGTGACAAAATCTGATGCAAGACATCAACAAAATGCTAATCCTTTCAACTGCATTAATTATAAATTACAGACTTCAAAATGAAAAAATAAAACCATTTGCACAACCAAAATTTTATGAAAGGTAGGACTTTATGAATTTCACCATATTTCATAGACACTAGAACTTGAAAAAGCAGCATTTGCCTGACTACACCAGTGGCAATTACAGTAAACCAGCATTCTGTAACCAGCTGACATCCGGTGCCGACTGCAGGAAGTGGGTAATTGCTCTGTGTGCGTATGACACAAACTCTCACTTAATCTCTCTCTCCTCATCACTCAACAGAGCCCAGGAAAGTCTCCAAAGCCTTTCAGCAAATGACTTTCAGGAAGAAATTAATCAAGACTTATGAAAGAAAATTAAGCCTGTTGCATACAGAGCTACCAAGAGCAGACGCTTAAATATTTGTTCTTGTCCACTAGTTCTGCATCATAGATGAGACAATAAATATTTGCAATGGTTGGTCACTCTGTTCTGCTGAAAGAGAATTTAGGAGGGATGATACTAAAAGTGGCTGTTCACACTAAATAACTTATTTCCTTTCAGGGATACTGCACTTACTGTTAGTCATTTTAGATCAGCTTTAAACCCTAACCGGACTGCTGGAGCAGCAAAAGTGCAAACAATCACCAGCAACAAGAAATAAAGAGAACAAAAAAATGTATTATGTAGTCTTTTTAAAACATTAGGTATCCTTTGGCCTCTGTGTGGCTTATGCAAAATTATAGAAAAACAAGATAAATCTGAATAAGCTGAACACATAACACAGCCTAGTTAACCACTTAAGTTCTTACCAAAACTCTATGGCTTTAGTATATGAAACTATAGCACGATCAAAGTCTCCGCGGGAAAATTCCTCATTTCCTTTCTGTTTCATAGAGTCACTGTTCTGTGAAATCAAGAAAAAAAAATATTCAACAACCACTGTAATTAAACTTATTTGCAACAAGAAGAAAACATTTGACAAGAAGGAGCTAAGATTTTATGCCTGTAAAAACAGAATGTTACTTATGCACTGTTAGTTGTAATTTAATACTTTTAACTCATTGCAATTAATAAGCTTATAAGTGTACAAATGAAAATGTTATACAGAAAAGAATACTCCTGCTTTTTAATTGTTTGTTGTAACTCAGAAGGTCTCCTGGGCTCCATAATATAGTCGTCATCAAAAGCAAGCATGTGTCAAATAGCAAAGTAGGCCAAGTATAGCACTGCTCAACCAGTTCCCTACTCAGGTCCCTATCAGAGTGGCTCCTGAACTATGGAACTGTAGCGAGGAAGACATAGGAATTAACGAGAATCACGAAGAGAAAAAAAAAAACAAACATCTACACTAAGAGAACACATGGCAAAGAATTGAGAGTGTCTTATTTCTGTGTTAAAGCAATGAAGTTGAACAATCTTCTATCAATATTAACTTCATTTCCTTGAACTTTTGGGGGAGCAAGGAAGGGAACACCCTCCAATGTGCACTGGTGACAAACAACTAATATTCTGTTCATTAGGCCAACATTTATCAAAGTAACTATTCATGCCAGGAAATGACTCAAGCTTTTGAAACCTCTCTCTTTAATCATTTGGTCATTGTTATAATCTTTAATCATTAACCCCCCCGATTTAAAATAATAAAAAAGGAAAAGAAAAGCACAAACACACTTTGGTGTCTTCTCTCACCTTCCTACAGTTTTCACAGGTCACAGCTTTAAATTCTTCAACTAAATTACAATCTTCCAATGCGACTTTAATAATATAACGTCTGCCTGGAGACAAAATGCAGAAAAATACAGTGGGTGAAGAAGTTACTAAAGACAAGAAGTAGGATTTATCTTCTGCTGTTAAGAACCATGCTCTGTTTTCTGACTGGAAGCATGATTTGATATACCAGCTAAATAACAGAAACAAATTAAGCAACAGAAACGTTCAAAAGAAAAGGAATTAGTTATTACTGGGCAACCCCGCAATAACTGGCTGCAGACCATAAAGCATTTCAAGTACTTATAATTGAGTTTCACTTGATTGCGTTTTAAAGAATTTGCATCTGAAAGCTTTGTATTTTAAAGAATTGGTACTTGAGTATTTGACTATGAACAGATTTTTCTCCTTCGCATACAAGTTCATTTTCTAATGTGTTACTTGGTGCAATAGCCAAGCTAGAGTGCAAGAAGACAGACCATAATAGGAGCCATTTAACACAGGTCAAACACAGCAGGGCTGGGAGTTTTTTTTGTAATTTCAGCAGAAGTTCCACTGCTAGAGTTAATATCTTATAGTAACTCCCATGAGCTAACTACATTAATCTTTGAACTAAAAGTAAAATATCAATTAATATTTTGACAAAATCCTCTGCCAAGCGTTTAACAAAAACCCCTCCACACCACCAGTTTTTCCAGTCACTCCCAGAGTAAAGAAATACATACAAATATTAACTATTTCATAATAACACCACAAATGACTTCCCACACCATTGTTCCTTCCAGTGTTCATACTTACATTCAACAAAGAAAACTTGAAGATAGATCCAAACAACATGATCACCAATTTCTCCACCAATTTTCTTCAGCCTCTCCAGAATACTGACATCACCTGTGTATCTGATCCATTCAAGTGCATCCCCAGCATCAAAGACACCCTAGTTCAATTGCAGGAAAGGAAAACAGAGGGGGAAAAAATGGTAACTAATTCTATACAAAGCAGTGTCTTAAAACAAAAACTTCAAACACCATAGCAAACCAACAGCTCACTGGCAATGTAGTGGAAGCATTTCAGGTAAATTTCAGGAAAAATTTTTTCACTGTGAGGGTGCCGGAGCACTGGAACAGGCTGCCCAGAGAGGTTGTGGAGTCTCCTTCACTGGAGTCATTCAAAACCTGCCTGGACGCCTTCCTGTGTGATGTACTCTAGGTGGTCCTGCTCTGGCAGGGGGGTTGGACTAGATGATCTTTCAAGGTCCCTTCCAACCCCTATGATTCTATGATTCTATGATAAATCTAAGACCACTACCCTCCTGCTTACACTGTGAACTTGTTCTAGATTTGCTAAGTCTTTGAAATAGACAACAGCTCACAAATATAACTCCCTGGATAACTCAAGCACAGCATAATACAGCATGTTCACAAAATCAAAACAGTCTTTTAAGAGGAGATGGGAAGGTGTTTGAATTATGGAATTTCATTTAGAAACTTCTTTTCAATAACTGCATACAAAGTTGCTTCAGTGTAAAGTGACAAACTTGATAAATAAAAGCAACACTATTCAGACTATTAGATGTGCAGGTAGGAGTAAGACTGAACTCCACAAATCATGACTTTCCTCCTATTCAAACTAAATTTAACTGTTTGACCTACAGAGCTGTATTTGAGGAAGAGGGATTGAATGAAGGATGTCCATTGCCTGGGATACTCCCACATTACCGGAGGCTACAGATTTTGAAAAATAATGTAAAAACTCACATGACTACAAGTATTACTGAAAACACAGGAACTGAGAAATCCAGCAGTAACATACAGTCATACCTATTCTGCTTCTCCTATTGCTACTATCACCTATGATATCATCTTCTAATGTCAGTGTTTTTATTTTAGCTTTTGCAGTTAACCTACAGCAGGCTGAAGAAACTAGGAGGTGAGAATTTACAAACACAGGGAAACTAAAAATGTTCCAAGTCCCAATTTTACAAGCTTCAAAACCATACTCTTACTCTGCCATTCACAGTCCTTCAGAATAGATCAGTATCACTATTTAATAGAGATGTCATAAAAGATTTCCAGCCTGTCTCCAAACAGGAGAACTTCTGTATCATTTCTGTGGTCAAGCTTGGCCCTACAGCATTGCCGTTGCTAGCAACAGGCTACGGGCTTTGTACGGAGTTTGCAAGGTGACAGGCCTGTGACTTGTCAGGCTTACTCTGAGCTTGTCCTCATCTGCTCAGAGCTCTGTTTTAGCTTGGTTTTCACCAGAACGGCAATTTTATTTCTGACCAGGTAGTTAGAACTAATTTGGTTTGAAAATGAACCTAAGCAGATCCTAGGATGAGGAAGAAAAAAACATCGGTAACAGTCCTCTCAGCAAAGAACTCCAGTCAGCGATGGCCATACCACACCCCACCCCACACAGCCTAACACCACACACAACCTTTGTGCTTCTTTGTTTTCTTGTTTCTTCTACAATAATTAATTCTGGAAGACTTCAACTGTACTAACAATAACTTCTTGTCTTTACATATGAAATGTGTTTGTCTTTTGCCCATACATAGGCTTTTGACATAACACAGCAACACCAGCAAAGAAAAAGACAAAGCAAAACACAGCACATAGGTAGGACTGCGTGATTCCAGGAGAGAATATAGAAATCTTGAAGACTGGAGGAAAAGTGCATGGAGACATCTCAAAGGAATAACCCTCCAACAAGAAATGACAAATGTGTGAGCAGACAACAAGCAGGTACTAAAGCAGATACTGGAGGGCTGACCTGGGCTCCAGTTACACAACCTAACTAATCCTACCCAACCACGCTGCAGCAGCAGCCTCCAAAGAGAAAACATTTCTTTTCAGCATGTGAACCACACCCAAAGTTCTCTACTCATTTTGATCATCTCACACAGATGCCATTTATTTCACACTTCCTGCCACACACAGATTTCATTCTGTGGCTCAAGAGTTGCAACAATGGCAACTGCAGTCCTATATACTACATATTCCAAAAACTAAACACAATTTATTTATGCAAACATTTTAAAAGTTTTGGATATTTGTACAAATACTTTGCTTGTATTCACGCATAAGGAAGTATTCTTATTAAAAACAATTTTAAAAACTTACATCTGCTGTTCTGCTGCCAATTTTCAGTATGCCACTGATAAAATGGGGAACATTCTGGAAGAGGAATAGAAAACAAACCCAAAGTTACTAAGACCTAGTAACTTTAGTTTCTATCTGCTCAGGTTCAATTCGAAAACATTTTCTGTTCCACTCGAATGCAATGTCATTTGGACAGTTGCTCTGGGCCACTTCCAAGTTTTAGGAAATATTCTTGTATTCAGTAGCAAATTCCCTGCCTGTTTTTATTTTTTCTATTGAAAAAACAAAGTTGACTTGGAAATAGAGAATACATGGATGCTGTGACATCTGGTTAGGAAAGTCAGCCACTTTAACCACTTCTGCCGTTATCCATGTACCAAAGATCCGGCTGACACATCCAATGAAAGCCATCCAAAACAAGAGACCTACTCTTATAAGAGTATATGGGAGTATACACAGCCCCTCCCACATAAAGATCGAACAGAAGAGACTACCAGGGGAGGAAAGAGCACAAAGATCCCACCACATGAACCAAAATGGAAAAGCTGAGGCGACATGCTGCAGCACGAGCACGTGAGAACAGAAGCCTCTGATTGCCTGAAGGCGGAAGCAGCAAAAAGAGCATCAGGATGTATGAATCCACAAGATCAATATACTACATGAATACCTTATCATAAAAAGTCATAACAGTAAGGTAGACAGGAAAGATGTAGCTTGAGCTGAGCACATAATTTCAACAATTTTTTTTTTTATTTATTTTTACTTTAGGTATGACACATTTAAAAAAAAAAAAATCTCTTCCCTTCAGCTGCTGAGAACATTTCTTACCTCACAGAATTGGAAGAGATATCACCTCTGCACTGTTGTTTCCATTTTAAGTCAGGAACAATAGTAAATTTCAAGTATTATTTATTGAATGAGGAAAAAGTTAACTGGGGTTCATTTAGGAAAGATGCCATTTTTCTCATTGGCACAACTCTCTTTCTCAGCAGCTTACAAAAGTCTTATGAAGTGTATTATTCACTTCACAAATACTTAGTAAGTTAACTTATCCCAAGTGTAATAAAACCTATGACAATTTTTTCTTTCTAGAAAGCTGCAAATCAACTAACAGACAATTTACTCACTCCAGCAAAAGGAAATGTTGAATTTAAGATGTAATCCCAAACTGCATAAGGTACAGACGTAATTAATCTATTATGCTTGAAAACTTACACAAAGTTAAAACATGGTACTTACAACAACTTTTTTAATTAAATCAACAAGGTCTTCCAAAACCTCTAAATCACAGATTCTCTTCCAATTCTCATGTATCGTCTGTGAACTGCACAAAACCAGAACTAGTTATTATTTAGGAAAATGAAACTGTTACATGCTCTTTATTACTATTTTTTACAATAATTAGATCTAAGCAAGAACACAATTACCAACTCAAATCAAGTCCTTCAGGGGAGGAAAAAAAAGGCTGCAAAGCTTTTGATACCTTTAAAATAAAGGGCATCCATTTAAGTACTTAAAATACACACTTAGATTCCGAACTCCACAAACTCATTCTTAATATTTTCTTCTGTATATTCACAAACCATATTTCAGAATATACATAACATATTCGTATATTCAGAACTATACTGCCTTCCAGCCTTAACTAACGGAGCCCATGGGTAAAAACATTCCTGCAGACAGTTATACTACTGCTGAAAGCAAACAATGAACTTGCACAGGTATCAAAAAAAGTTCTCCAAATGATTTCATCAGCCTTTACATGACTACTTACCTCCAATCAGCTACCAAAGAATTAACATCATTTTTGAAGAGAAGAGGCCAAAAGAGGCGTATTCTAATGATGTTGCAATATTCTCTTAACACATCAACTGGTTGACTGCACCACACTTCACAGGGATCAACATCTTCAAGAAAATAGATAGCAATTAGATTACACAATTCAGGCACTGCAAGTAATCAAAGTCAAAATAAACATTGGAAAACATCTATTACTCCCATACTGTGTTCCTAATATCTAATCAAAATAAGAAAACTTGAACACTCCAAACACATCTGGCAACTTGAGGGTTTTTATAAATTGCAGGGCAATAGGGAATTTATATGGAGGTAAGAATAGGGACTTACCAGCAGGCTTTACATTCCTTGCTCAACGAATTGCCAATGTTCTGAATTGTACTGATATATTACGTTGTAAATTAATAAATGCAGCCTGCTTCTAAATGAGGAGCCTAACAAGCACTGTGAGCTGTTTAATGGCTATAAGGGATGCTATTTTCAAGATAAAACATGGTTCTCTTCTAACTGTACCCACTTAATTATATTCTACCATAAATCCAGAGCACTGTGGTACAAAAAGATCAGCAATATTCTTCTTTCTTCTCCAGAGGCCATAGTGTGTGTGATGCATGGCTCTCAAAAATATAATCAATTTCCCTAAGAGACTGCCTCTAAAAGGTAAAGATCATTACCAGACTACTGAGTTGGCATCAAGTACTCTCAGAGTAGAAGCAGTATTCTCTGAGAATCTGAATATATGCAAAAATTCATCCTACACTGCTGGCTGTATTCATCTGAGCTTCATACACATTACAGGTTACCATTTTTATAGTGAACATAGGTCTGGATAACTTGATGTACTCTTGAGCCACCTGCTCTTCTGCAGCTATCATTTTTTTTTTTAATATTACAACTGCAAAACTTTACCTACAAAGACCAACTTGAAGATCCCTTTACACCTATACAGCTAAAACATACAAAACAAAAACACAGTAACAAACACAAACATTAAATCTCCATCCTCATAATATTGACTGCATGTATGTTCACACTATTGACAATTTACACAGTTCTCACCAACCTATATCAGTCATCTGCACACTACATTAAAACAAAAAGATGAGAACTCCTCCAGTTGAAAAGAACATACCAATGCCTCTGCCCAGAAATAAAAAATTTCTACTTATTCAGACCAAATAAGGAAACTAGTGAAACAGCAATCAAAAAATCCAAACACAGCATAAAAAGTGCATTAGAGTTATGTAATCCTGGTTTAGTTTACATACCTGTTTTCGGCTTATGCAGTGATCTCTGTACACACACTCCATGACCCTAAAGATAAACATATTTTTTAACATGCGCATCTTGCAAATGTGCTACACTAACTATCAACGACGATTGCTTAACTGTTTCTAAATATTCAACCAATATAAACTGTTCGCACCACGGAAGGAAGGAAGGAACGGGAGTGGTTTTTTATGTTCTGCCACTAATTTAATTTCTCAAGGTAAATATTATCTTCATAAGCAAGCAGCATGATCAAATAGTAAACAAATCTAGAAAGCAAAGCACCCAGTACTGAGCAGTCTACTTTCCCATTATATGCTCCTCAGTAGGTTTCAGTTGAGTGGTTCAAACCTAGTCCCATAGACAGAAGACCCATTTCTGGCTGAGGCACATTACCTACACTCTTAAAAGCACCTTTCAGATTAGTTTCATCCCCAATGAATCCCACTCGCATGCTCCAAGCCCTCTTCAGAACACAAGCCAACACATGAAGCAAATACCCTAATTGTCCCTGTCTTTCAAAAGCATTTTCCTGATCTAAACTAAAATACTAATGCAGACACATTAACAAAAATGAATTATTAACTGAAATTATTGACTATTATCAACTATAATTATTTACTGATTAGCTAAAATATTCATTCCCTCACATGTTTCCACAGTTCTGCCAACATTTTTCCGAGGAAAACAAGTAAACTTACTTCTTCAGAAAACTCTGAAATATTTTGCATTACTGAACAATGAACCCCTTGGGATCCAATCATTATAATTCACATTAAGCACAGCCAAAAATCAAACAAACCAGACAAAATCAAGAGGAGACATAAAACATGTTTACAAGAGGTACCTAACAATGATTTAGTTGCTGTCTTATTTTTAAAAAGTTTACCTGCACTTTTTTTTCATAAAAAAAAGTCCATAGATTAATAGTTATGAATCGATGAAAAACTTCCAGTACTTTCAACAATATATTAAGATAGATTGGAACAGTATTTTTTAAATTAATAATTCAAAATCAAGCAGCAATATAGTGTTCAAGAATACTCAAGGAAAAATGTTTAAGACGACAGCCCAGGTTTTAAAAAAATTAAATTTTGGCAGCTAGTGCACATATATTTAAATAAATACATATAGCTATATATCAAGTGGAGTGGTTGATTTACCCTCTATACATCATGGCAACATACTGAGATGGAGGAAATGGGCTTAAGCTGCACCAAGGGAGGTTTAGATTGGATATTAGGAAGAACTTCTTTACTGAAAGAGTGGTGAGGCTGAACAGGCTGCTCAGGAAGGTGGTGTAGTCACCATCCTAGGAAGGGTTAAAAAAACCTCTAGATGTGGTACTCAGGACATGGTCATGGTAGTGTTGGGTCAACGGCTGGACTTGATGACCTTAGAGATCTTTTCCATCCTTAACGACTCTATGAATCAACATTTTGATGTGTTTAAAACAATACTCCATATGAGTCCCTGAAGTTTAAGAATATTCGATTTTTGTACCATTTTACAGATCCCTACGAAGTCTAATATTTTAACAAGGATTAAAAATGTGTAATTTAATAAATACTACACATCATGTCTAAGTATTGCACATTATCATTTCACAGAAATGCAAAGCTATTTCTGAATATGTTAACAGACCTTTATTCTTTCAGTGGCAGACTTCCTTAAAATACTAGCACGTCATGCAATGACGACTTACTAACTTGACCAAAGGTGATGACAAGCAATCACATGCTTTGCCTGAGGCAGTGTTTCTGAGTTATCATAACATTACATGTAAATCAACCCTTACTAAAAGAAGTTATTGTAACCTCAACATATTCAACAGACCATGACACTAACAAGGAGAAAACAAAATAACTATTACTTCAAAATCACTTAATTTTGAAAGATGACTGTCTTCTTCAATCCACAGCATGGTTCTTCTACAATATTTAACAGCAAAGCATACAGACATGGTGCAGACACATACCCTCTATACATCAAGCCCAAGGTGGGATTCCCACTAAAGCAAGCCTGAAAACCAAGAGTTAGCACTACACAGAATCAAGGGTTCATTTTCCACAGCACAGCACACATGTTACCTTAAGGAATAAAACGACTAGTACCTTAAACTACCACAACTCTTAAGTACTACACTTTGTTCATAACAAAAAAAAAAAAACCAGTATCTTTATTGAAAAAGACAATTTCCAACATGACTCACTACTCTACTGGTAAGAGTCCTTTTGTGCTTTATAAATAAGAAATTCAATTTTCTTGAACTTTTTATTTCTGCATACAAATAATAGTAGGCCAGCTAGCCTGTGCTTCATAGCAGCAACACTTCGGATAAATAACTCATAACTGAACTCTCCAAGCAGCAAAAAGATTAACTACTGCAGTCGTTTCTAAGACTCATTAAGCATAGCAAGAAGGGGATATAAGAGTCAAGGATATAACTCTTGCAAGTATTAAAACAGAAGACTACTAAAGTTTATTCAATAGTAGAAACAACTAAGGAAGTGGAGGCCTTTTTGGGTACAAAGAACTAAAAAAGAATTTAAGAGATTACAAGAACAAAGAAAGGGTGAACAGCCCACAGCTGATTTGTGCACTTGAACTTCCATGAACTAAGCTATGTTTGTTTTCCAATTAAAGGAAGTGAATCTGTCACTCCGAGGTCTCTCATCCCAGGTATGACCTGGATACACGGCCAACAAGTTGGTCAAGTTCTGTTAACAGGACCTATGCACAGCTGTATATGCATTTAGGAAAACTTGCCTGATAGGGGATGCGCACAGTGCCCGCACTCTGCTGAATGCTTTTGCACGTGAGTAAGACGCAGTGCTGCATGGTATCTTCGCGTCAGTTCGAATTAACCAATACTAGCAATCACTCTGTTGATCAGACCCGGTTATAAACATCAGGGGAACATCTCACGAGTTTTTCCATCTACTTTCAGACTTACTTACCAACTCACAGAAAGACTTATCCCGAGCATAAAAAGCCAAGGCTGACAAGTCGAACTCAGAGAGAGGTTCCTCCATGGCACATGACGCTGAAAGAGAAAGGATGAGGAGAAAAACCGTGAGGGGAAGGCAAGCGGAAAGTGAGGCGCTTCGCGGGACTCACCTC